TTTTTTTCCTGATGTGCACGCCGAGCACCAGCAGGGTGCGAGCTGCTGTACACTCTTTGCCTGTATATCTTACTCAATTAGATATAGTAGAAAGATTATAGGTCAAATATACTCACTTTCCTGGTTGAGGTACGTTTGCGGCCTGACGACATGCGAGGCGTGCGAGGCGGTGGTGGAAGTAAATGACAGAGAAAAAAACTCTTGCTGCATTTGGCAAAGTGCGTCAGCTTCAAAGACTGCGGAAGTGTTTAGGTAACCTTTCTGAAGCATCTCCAGCTCTTTACAGGCTGCCTACTCGAGCCTCTGCATAGGCGAGCTGAAGGTTGCGCGAACAGGCTCGGTTAGCCCGACTTAGGCGCCCTAGCACCATCTGAACTAACCTCCGGCCAGCCCATCTGTATGTAGCCCTCATACTCATCATGCTCTCTCCTGTACTGAGCATATTATATTATTCCTAGAAATACCTTTAATTCTACCTACTGACACACTCACTATATTCAAGTCGTACAGAAAGGTCGGACACGCAGTGATTGTTTGTTCTGCGCTTCGCTGTGTGAATGCACGGTGGCGAGTCGAAACAATAATATATGCAGTTTGCAGAGTTACACTGTGCCTGATACATACCGGCGTGAGATCTGCACTTCGCCTAGCTGTGCTGGAACGAAACCTAGTATATGCTTATTTTGGTAGCGAGTCATGATCATCGTGGGTGCGCTTCAATTAACTACTTCGTTGAATCTTGAGCTTGAACGTTTGAACGTCGAACTTAATCTTCTTCCACAAACAATTCTGTCTGCTTTACCTCTGTATCCCCTCCTGTCGACCACTCGATGGCCCAACGTGTGACTCACACCAATAGATAGTCCGCTGCCTCCACTGGCCCGCTAGTGCGCGAATGTTCTGTCTCCCCGGCCCTCTCGACGACTACGAAGCGAATCCAACTAGGCGACCCAACGAAGCAGCTTCCTCCCAAGCCGCAGGTTCATTTTGCCGCCGGTCAACGCTCACTGGCACCCCAGAAGCTCGTTCCATATACCCGTATGACGATTCCCTCCGGCGCAGGCTGAAGAATGCAATCTCAATATTGTATACAGCCCTCCCCCTTTCGATATTCTGCTCCATGGCAATGGATTTGTGGTTCCCAGCAACAGTAAGACACGGTACTGCATCTTCGCAGCCATGTTGGTGGACAATTACCCTGAAGTTCGTAAAACCCTGGCCACGTATCAAGATCCCCCTCGAACAACCGACGGTCTCCCGTAAGGGTAAAACCTCCTGCGCAGACTGTAGTTCTAAGGTAGTGGACGACAAGAACAGGTTCAATCAGGTGAGATGAAGAAAGTAATTGAGCGAGTACGTATTTCTTGCAGCCCGCAACGATGAACAGCCGGATGGAATCGACGCCCCGCTTCAGCGCTTTGACCCATTATTGTGCGGTGCGCAGTGAGCAGCGAGGAGACGTGTACAGGACATCCTGTCTTCACAGGTACCTGCGCATCACGGTTCTCCGCAAGCTACCAATCTAGTGGGGATATGTGAAGAAAAGCTGACACCACCTGCCCATCTGTTTGGAGCCTCGTCTGCAGACCTGTAGACACTCTAAGGCAATAATTTGAAGCCGCCACGAAAGCGGCAGTAAGCTGGGCAGGTTCGATGTGGGGCAAAATTTCAGACATGCATGTATGCCTGCTCTCCGGCAACGAACATCACCCTGTGTGCTGGTTAGCGCGTGAGTCGCTATAGACAGATCTAAGCGGGCTTACAAGATGTAACATGTCCGAGTCCCGGCGATATTCGCGTTTGTCTCCGAGTCAGAGCCTGCGATAATTCGTGCCACCTGAGAACGACGACGTACTTCTCGTTGTCTGCAACCAAGGTACGCCTCCCAGCTCACTAGTCTGCTGCATATGAACCAGACTGTGTGTCCATGTACCCATTGCTCGCGACAATATAACTTGTCTTTCCGCACTTGAGTGCGTATAGGAGCAAGAGCACGAGGGTAACCACGACATCGGTGGATCCCTCTCGAACATAGTAGACTTCGCTTGTCACGAAGTAGAATCATCTGGAGTAGGCATAGTATGATCTGAAATGACATACATCGAGCGCGTGAGCCAGCCTACAGCACGAAGGCGCGGGAGGAATTCAATGGCGAGGGTTGACTAGGGTCGTCGGGGCAAGGTAGCTGAAGTGCAAGCGGAATAACAATTCACTTATGTTCATGTGCACGTAGAAGAGCGGTACGTCTGACGATAGCCATAAACATAGACATGCAATGGGGTATTGACTTAATGTACAATATGGCGCGAAAATAATCTGTGCACGCTCACGTGAGACAGACGTTAAGTAATTATAGCAACCTGCTACTCACTAAACTGTCCTGGTTCTCAAATTCAGCGTAGAATCTGCACTGGTGCCTCACGCCTCGGGTGCAGCTGGTGACGGCCACCACCACCACGCTAACCTGAGGGTTACCCACACTCCGAGGAACGCGATTGCGCAGTAGCCCATTAGTCTCCACGACTTGACGCCACCAGAGGTAAGTCCAAATGCATGTCCTGCTCGTCGTGTTGATTGTGCTAGTGAGTCGCCAAAGGATTGGAAAGTATTGCGCTACGAGGCGTTTATTCGCTTTAGGTAAGGCATACGAACCGGTACGACGTACGGTATCATCTAGAGTAAGATTCTGCCTCTCAACATCTTCATATACGTCTGTCGTGACCTAATTCGAGGTCAGGGGCGGTCACCACGTCAAGCCGAGCACGATAGCACGTACACCGCGTAGTGTCCGAAGCTTTGAGTGCAGCTCGTCAAGCCTCTGGTCATTTTGGGTCTCGTATGTATCTTCCATATTTCGTGAGCTCGACATGTCAGCATGCAGTAGCGAGATCCGTATGAACTGTTGGGGAAGAGCTGGTCGACCTCGGGGATGTCACGGTCGCGGGGAAAGATGTTTGGCGCCGGGAGAGGCAGCGCACTTTGCGTTCTGACACACTTTCTCTCCCGTTCGACGACCACCGCGACATTTCCCGCCCGCAAGGCGGTCTTACCTCCTCCTTAAAGCGTTGAAGTTTGCTTTCCGCTTCTCGACAGCACCGAAACCTTTAGAATAGTCTCTGTCCCTGCGATGTCGAGCAGGAGCCATCTCCCCATGGCTGCGGTGGCCCTGAGCCTAGCTTCGACCGCCTTCGCCCATGAACACCACGAACAGCTTTCGGAGGAGGATATGAACAAGCCTGTTGATGCTATCCTGTGGATACATATCTTCCTACAGATGGCCGTATGGGGCGTACTTTTCCCGACAGGGATGGTTCTAGGAATGTCCAAGAGCCGTTGGCACATCCCCCTGCAGGTGCGTTCGCCTTGAACTTGCCCGCGACCGCTAATGATCCAACATCTGATGGCATTACTAGAGCGTTGGGATCGCTCTCACATTGGGAGGCTATATACTTGGACACTCACACGGCGGCCGCCCTTTCCTCGCGGGCATCCACGGTACATTCGCCAACATCCTCATCGTCCCTATCTTCCTCCAACTCGCACTTGGTATTTACCTGAAGCTGCATATCCATGAGGAGACTATTCGTCCCTGGGTTGTCCGCCTGCATGGAGTAGTAGGCAAGGCATACCCCGTCTTCGGCTGGGTCCAGATGCTATTCGGTGCAATTGCGTTCAGAGGCTACTGCCGCGGCGATAATCTGGGGCAATGCCTCGCTCACTACATCATGGTACGTATTGGCTGTGTTCTCTGTGATATCTGTGTTGATATTCTATGACGTATACAGGGCGGCGGCTTCATCGCATACGGCACCATCATGGCCATTATGCTCCTGGTGGGCGAAGCATGGATTCGGCGGTCACGGAGGAGCCCAGAGTGGTGGGACTCTTGGATCATCATGCTTTGGGTATGTGTTGAGCACGTTTTGTGCATATTCATTATTTGACCGTAAAAAGGGCATTGTCAACACCTTCACCGAGCACCATGGCGGGGGCTGGTCCCACAAGGACATGCAACACACGTGAGTTTTGTTGGAATCCATCCCTCGAACTCTAGCTTAGGCAAATTTGTGTAGCATCATGGGCGTCCTCTGTGAGTAGGACGGCATACCATCGTCGTTATTGCTTCGGACTAACCGATCCATCAGGGTGGGCTGGAGGTCTACTGGGTATCCTACTCGCTCGCAACAACCAGCGCACCGTCATTCCCGCGGTGATGTGAGCTACCGTCCACTCCTCTCTGAACACCGTAGTCTAACCTGGTGCACCCAGCATAATCATTACCGGGTGGGCATTCTCGGATCATGCTCAGGCCATGATGATTTCTACTCGCGTAGGTGTCTTGGCGTCCTGCATATATCCAGGTCTGACGCATACACTCATAGGTACACGCAACATTTGGACATACCCTCATGCTCGCGGGCGTCGTGCGCATCGTCGAAGTTTCGTTCATCGCGCCGAAGTACGCTCCGCTGCCCGCAGACGCGTCCTCGACAGATGACGACCACAGCGAACACACTCTCGCCGACGCGCCCGCTTCGGGAAGCTCTCCGTTGTACCAATCTGTGAAAGCGTTCAGGCACCTGCCTCCATTCGTGAGTCGCCACTATCGAGATGGCGAGAACTAGTCTGACTCGTTCTTGCTATAGCTACTCGTCGCTTCTGGTGTGCTCTTCATGTCGGCAACGGATGAGGAGCTACGCTTCGCCGACCAAGAACTGGAAATGGACCATGTCACCTACATCCTGATTATGTTTAGGTATGCAGGATCAATTTTCTTATGTTCATCGTATGCCTGACCGTACTTTCTTCGTAGTCTGGCGTTCCTGATCTACGCTTTGATTGTTTCTCGCATCAACCTCTGGGCAACAAGCGGCCGCAATGCTGCATCGTCCACCCAGGCCGCGGGTGCTATAGAGTTAGCGCCTACGACTAAGTGGTACTCTCGTGTCCCAGCAGGCGATACTGAAATTGAAGCCCACGTTATCGGTGATGATGAGTAGTGGCCATCCATGTTATACCTGTAGAAGTTTGTGTTTTCATGTTTGCTACTGTTGTGCATCTTCATCTTGTATCTATCTTTATATCGCATAGCATCTATGTGCTCCTTCAAGCGTCATACCATCTTCTCTCGGTCACGTTTACGGATAACATCTAGTTCACTTCGCTCACTGCTAGTACAATTCTGTCCAGTATCCTAGTAACGGCCGTTATGTATAATCATATACCATCACCCTGCCATCCACACAACAGACCGCAATGCGCGCCTCGTCATCGCACACCGCCAGCCTCGTCCAGTTTTCCGCCTCCTCCTGCAGGTGGAACAGCGATGGCTGCGTCGTCTTTGAGTGCTCCGCGTCCGCTCGATCAGCGGACGCCTCGTTCATTTGCACGTCGAGGTTAACGGCGTGCCGCGGCTCCTGGTTCTCCTCAGCCGGCGGCGGGACGTACCGGAGGACCTTTCCCGCGACACGCTGGCCGCGGTCGCCCACCTGCGAGGGCAGGTCCGTCTGCGCGTCGAGCCAGAGCGCGGTGCCGTACCGGCCGAGCACGGCGTCCGACGGCGTGAAGATGCGAATTGGCGACGGCACCGAGTCCGCGATATACGGCTTGAGCGCCGGGCCTCCAGGATGCGAGGTGTGCAGGTATGGCAGCTCGGCGGGCGGAGGGCTGCCCGGGCGCGGGCGCGTGTACGACGAGGCGCAGAAGGCGGGATTTGGGGGCAGGATGAAGAAATGCAGGATGTTGACGGGCCAGGGGTACCAGCTATCGAAGCGGAGAAGAATGTAGATGGGTGGATACAGGCTTGCGGCTGTAGACTGTGCAGGGCGAAGTTGCGCTGCTAAAGGGTGAGGGTACATAGGCATGGACTTCAGCGTGTCGATGCGAAAGCGCCAGCGGTGCTTGGCTGCCGGGTCGAGCTCGATCGCTCTGCCGTCAGAAGAGAGCCCCATCAGATCTTGTGGAGGAAGAGCATATAGATGCGTCCACTGCTGACAAAATGTTAAGATGAAGTCGCCTACTATCTGCATTGAAAAACATCTGTGCTCCTATGCGCGGCGGGATTAGAGACAGCCCTGCTACACAGGGCATCATACTTACTTCAAGAAATATCGTCTGATCACTATGCACTAGAGGGACACGCAAGATGTACAGGACACCGCCTGTCTCTACACTGTACGCGGTGATCCGATTGGTGTCGTCCGTGGCGAAGAAGGTGGAGCCTTCGAGCTTTAGCGTGAGCCCCAAGCTCTCGAAGAATTGATGCACATGGAAGGCATCGTTTGTATCCTTGGAAAAGTCTATCCCACAAGCAGAAGTGGTGATTCCGCTACCCAATTACAACCACTAATTAGTCTCGGCGTGCAATGCGTGCAGCCTGACTCACATTTCCGGCACGCCAGATGTTATGGTCAGTACAACTGGATGCCCAGGTTCTGTATTGACTTGAACACCACGAAGAGCAGTTGAGCTGTAACGCGCAACGTGTGGGATATGTGACTGCTGCAGGTCCCAGCACTGTATGATGTACTCTCGAGGTGTAAGCTCCAGTCGGGTCAAGGTGATCAGATAACGATTGTCCACGCCTGGCAGGAAGTAGGCAGCATATGTACGGGCGTAACACCTGCTTTCTGGTGTAGCGATTTTCACTTCGAGGTGCTTGGTCGCCTGAGGACTGTCCGAAGTCCAGCTCTCTCGAGCCTTGAGGGCGTGGATAGTAGCCTCTTCGAGATCCGCGGACGAGAGAGACATTTTATCTCGACCTCCGATATGATGTGCAGGAACCATCTGATCAATAACATGGCTGTGCAATGCGTCGAACCAGACGCTGCGCTCTTGGGTAACTCCACAGAGGATTTTGGACGTCTGCAGACAAACAATCAGTCGGCCGCGGCCTCAGTGCAAAAGATATGCTCACCTGTCTTAGACTCAGAATATCTCTTACGGAAAGAAATGAAAATACATGAAGCAGGAGTTCTGTGGGCAAGCTGTCCAAGACCATATTAGCAGCGAGCGACGGAGACAAAGCCCGGATAAGCGACGTCTCAGTGTCCCGACGCATCAGATACGCCACGAAGCTGGCGCTCATCACAGGCGATTGCGTACGCGCATTATTATCCCACACTCCCGTCTGCCGCCTCACTCTCGACCAGTTGAACCGTGTCTCCTCGTTGTTGAGACATATCAAACCCTGTAGTTATCGCCATGTCAGATCGAGATGTCATGCTTTCCATGGGTTTCGACATGGCCCGCGTAGACTGTGAGTATCTGCAGTCGCCTTCCGCTGTCGTCTATACCTCATGAAAATATTGTGGCGGATTACAGGGGCCATTAAAGCCACGGGAGGTCGTGGTTTACAGCCCGCTATGGATTTCCTCATTGAGAACGAAGGCAAGCCAGTGCCTGACTTGTCCACCGTCTCGGCCAGCTCGAGTTCGCAGCCATCCAGCGGTGCGGGAGCGGCAGGAGAGGAAGATGACGAAGAGCTGGAAGCATTGAAGGCTGTGTACGGAAAGAAGGCCGGAAACGACACCCAGGCCCTCGCCGCGGCGGCGGAGGCAGATGCTGAAGCCAAGGTGCGTGTATCCGCAGAGTCTCTGAAGCCGTATCTGATTACGTCTATGCTTCTTGTATGCAGAGTATCAAGTGCTCAGAATGCGGCAAGATCTTCAAGAACACTGCACTGGCCCAATACCATGCCGAGAAGAGCGGGCACGACCAGTTTGAGGAGTCGACAGAAGAGGCGCGTTCTTGTCCTCGCGTTGTGGTCTTCCCGCAACTGACTGTTAACCGTTGTTGTATCATAGGTCAAGCCCTTGACAGAAGAAGAGAAGCAACAGAAATTAACCGAACTGCGTGAAAAGATGGCGGAGAAGAGAGCGGCGAAGGCGAAGGAGGAACAGAAGGAGCAGCGGGCTAACGAGGCGATCCGCAGGAAGTCAGGAAAGGTACGTCACAGGCTGCTGTCGTGTGCTCATACGCGCTCATCATGGTCTCTAGGATGTGAACGAATTGCGCGAGGAGCTGAAGCAGAAGGAGATACTCAAGGAAGCTGAGGCTAAGCGACGGGGTACGTCACTGCGTGCCACCGACCTTGTGCCCTTTTAACCCTTCGTCCATCTCAACAGAGAAGGTTGAAGATGCAAAGGCACGCGCTGCCATTAAAGCGCAGATCGAAGCAGACAAGCGTGAACGTGCCGAGAAGGCTGCGCGGGAAAAGGCTCTCCGTGAGGGTACGGCCCTGCCTGAAGCCGCCCCTACACAGTCTCCTCTCGCTGCGGCACGCGCTGCTCCCACAGGTACTGCTGGCAGGGATTACCCTACGACTAGGCTGCAGATCCGGATGGCCAGTGGCGGACAGCCGTACACCACAACGCTGCCGAGTGATGCTAGTGCGTAATGTTTTCAAGGATCTTTGTTCATTGGGTTCACAGTATTTTTTAGAGTTGCGTGAGGTCGCGGAATATCTCGCGGGCCAGAACCTGAACTTCGACGTCGAGACCGTCAGTTTCTCGATGCAATTCCCAAGGTGTGCTATCTCCCCACGCACCACTTTCTTCCAGTCTCACTCTCTGCACAGGAAACAATTCTCGCAAGCAGACTTCTCCAAGACCCTGCGGGAGCTCGGGTTGACACCGTCTGCTGTATGTACAAGATCGGCTATATTCGCCCGTCATAAGAGCTAATCGTGTTGCTAGGTTCTCATCGCCTCTTAACGACGGCTCACGCAGATCTCAAAGCGGACTATGCAAATCACAATGTACAATGAGAACTGTGCGAAAATACCTACTCTCCGTGTATTCGAACGTCAGACTGGTTCACTCTTACTATTTTCGCCACGCCACACTCATCACTACGACTTGCACACCAAATGACGGAGCTGTTACGAACATTATTTGCCACGAGCATACAATATTGTAACTAAGCGACAAGTTATACGATACAGTATGTGTAGCTGCCGCACAAATCGCACGTAGGGGCATCTAAGCCATTAGGCATCGAACGGTAGTGTTATATGATGTTACAGATGTGGAAAGCATGGGGGAAGAGTCAGTAGATAGCAGCAATAAATCGTGGACTCGAGATGGTATAACTTAACGAGACAGGGAAACAGCGTGGGTGGTGGTTTTGCGAAAGAAATCGATGGACATCATGAGGGGGTGTGGGTATGTCATTGAGACGGTCGAGATGTATCGAACGTATGTGGATGTGACGGTCCCGGGGCATGCACGGAATACGATGGCGGTGGCGAAAAGGCCCGCGGCGGGGGAACGAACGCCTCCTCTGCGCTGCTGGCGACGCTGGCGCCCGTGAGCGGCATGCTCCTTCTTCGCACGCTTTTGGGGGCGGAATCAAGTAACGGCCAGCCGTCAAACTTTGTGTAGTCGTTCGATGAGCGGCGGGGACCATCGTCCGGGCTGGACGACCGTGCGCGCGGGGACGGCTGCATCGAGTGCACGCGGCGTATGTTATGCGGGTCGTTCTCGGCGTCGCCGCCTGCGGGCGAGATCGTGATCGGGGGTATGTCGAAGTCGAGCGTCGCACGCCGCTCGCTCGGATGCTGGGCGTCGCCTGGTAGGGCGCTTTGGCCTGTTCCGGAGCTTGTGAGTATATCACAGAGCGATGTATCGCAAACCGCTCACCAGATGCGGGATCCTCAGCCCCGGGTAATGGCGGCAGCGATGTAGGTGGTAGGGGAGTAGTGGGCGTAACAGGCCTCGTCGGAGCCATCTCGAGGAACGAGTTGTCTTTCCGTAATTTCTTCGTTGATGCAGCGTCGACCTGCAAAACAGGGGATACAGGCTTGAAACTCGAGGGTCCTGCCTCCCCGCCTGAGCGATGACGTATGCTCTTGCCTCTACTTATGCTGGCTCGCGAAGATATCGAGGCGTTGTCTGCCGTTGGCGTCGGGGGGACTGAACCTTTCACAGATTTCGGTAGCCTGAGACTGGTCTTTGACATCCTGATGCTGCGTTTCCTAGCAGCAGTAACTCGCCGCGAGTAGTTCTCATAGTCGTTTCGCTCGCGCTCCTTTACTCGATCTGTGACTAGCTGGGTCAGTGTCGCTTTCGTTGCAACTGCCTTCCCCGTCACACCAATGACTTCCGCAAGGCGCACGCTCTCCTCGATGTGCATGTCGTCATCGCCAGTGTCCATGTCAGACTCGGAGCTGAAGCCTGAGTGGAAGTTCTCGAGGTCATCCATCTCTTGGGCCATCTCCTGCGCCACCCTCCACGCTTCCTCCAGTTCTGCCTTCAGGTGCTCGATTTCCTGCTTCACCCCCTTGAGCTCTTCAGTCCGCTTCCCGTAGCTGGCGTTCAGTTTGCGCAGAGCCATTGCAAGAGCAGAAGAGATGTGGACTTCCTGTACGTGATGTATCTGCGCACGCTGGTCCGTGAGGCGCAGCAGCTCCATCATAAGGCCGTCGCAGGCCGCCGTGACCTCAGCAAGCTGAGTTACGAGGCCGGCCAGGGCAGCACAGTCCTGCTCCCCGGAAGAAAGGGCGACGAGAGACTGGAGCAGCATTGTTCTTCGGTGCATGTTGAAGCGGTACTTGGACTGCGCAGTCGCTTTGGCCTGTTACGCGGTAATGAAGTATCGCAGCACAGACGATAGAGGCATACTCACAGTTTCCAACCGCTCCAACTCCGCAACCAGCTCCTCGTCCAACGTCTTGACAGAGAGCAGACGAATGAACGATTCCTGCGCCGTCCGTCGGATTGCTCTTGAGACTATTTCCTGCAGCTCCGTCGAGTTCAAGGTCCACTGAGCGGATTCGAGAGTCATGCCGCGCCATGCTATAGGTTCGGACTCGAAGTTTAGTGTGGGTGGGGGCGTGAGCGTTGGCGGCTTTGCGATAGCTTTCGCTGCAGGTGCGCTGGACGCGCTGGACACCGGACGACTGGGCACGGCAGCGAGGCTTGTCTGTACGCCTTGCTCACTCCATTCCCGCGTATTGCGGAGCTGCGGGGGTAAGGTGATATGGTCGAAGTTGATTGCACCAGGCGAGGATAGTGAGCCAGTGGCCGAGCTTGGAACAGGTGAATCACATCCGGCTTGTCCAGGTGCTCCTCCGTCCGTCAGCGACGGGTCCAAGGCGAATGGCAGAGCAGACCTGGAAGTCTGCCTTCGGCTCTGAATTCGGGGGCCGCCTGGGCGTGGACGTGGCGACGTTGATAAACGATTAGGCTCCATATGGGAAGACTCTAGAGGAACGATACAAGATCTTGAAGGAAAGACGATAGAAGAGGAGCCAAGGACACCCTCCCTGGCCTCAGGTGGTAGTATCAGGCATGAAAGGGAGGGACTGGATGCATCGTTGTGCTTGATTGCAACTGGTTGATGGCAAGCTGATGAGCGGGACAGTGGCGGTGCCTATGACGCTTTGCTTGACCGAGATGACAACAGATGATATATCCCCGCCCGCCAGTAACTAGCTTCGATGACTAATTCCTGGTATGCTATTAAGACATCGTTAACAGAACTGGATGGGTAAACGGAGAATTATGTGCCGCTGGTACGCGCGAAGGAGCTGGGAGGAAAATAGACCACGGCGACACCCATAACATACACGAACACACAAAACGAGTTTCAGGCCGGAGATGATCGTTCACATTCAACATTCAACATCAGCGTTCAGCGAGCAGGCTCCCTGGAAACTGGCTTCCAGATTGTGTATCTGGCCGTTGCAACTACGCTGTGGGCAGTCCCTCTGTTCCGGTAACCTACATTCACTATACTTATCGGTCGTGAGTCCACACTTTGATTTTGATTTGATTTGATCTTGTTTATGGCACGATGGCATATATCACTCACATATAAACAAACATTTCAGCAGCAGACTCCGTCTTCGGCGGCCATATTAGCGTCGCGTCGTTCAAATCTCAAAGGTGAGTGCACAGCCCGTACACGGAACTCTTAGTATTGCTATGGACATTCCGGCCGTTCGAATTGGCTCGTTCGGTAGAGCCTGTTCGCGGTAGGAGGTATCGACAGTCGGAGGCCCCGGTCCCGGTCGACAACCTGAGTGTCGCGTAAAGCTTGTTAGGATTTAATCAACCCTTGGGGATCCCACCATTGAGACAAATGAACAGCTGCGTATCTAGATTTATCCCACCCATATACCAGTACAGATTATTACAGTCATGACGTAGATACCAGAGCATAACGTAGAGGTAAGCCGCAAGGGCCACAAGCTTCAGCCAGACTTCCTTCAAATGTTTGGCTGTGTTAGTTTCGCAAGGCTTTGACCAAATAAGATTCAACATTTACCGCTGAGCCGATACGATGTTACTTCTGCCCGCTAGCCCAGTAGTGTACAGCAGATTATTACTTATATCTCCACATCCGATTGCTTCGAGGTTCGATTTTTTTTTCAGGAGCCAAGTGGATACTTATAGGGTCCTTCGAGCTAGCGGCAGGTCACGATCTAGCTCCTGCCGCGCCTCTGTGAAAGGGGCTACGTAGAATTGCATTACGTTCTGAGACTGCCCAAAATATCCCTTCACCCGCCTCATGGCCTATGGAAACGAGAACATAGACTATCCCACTTCGCATTATGCCTTGTCGTGAATGGCGGAGAATGCTCGTAGGAGTGTAATTGCGCTTCCATTGACCGATGATAATAATGTGGCCTACCCCGACCAAAGCTCGCCACCACCGGTAGACCGATTATAGAGTTATGATGATTCAGCTAACACTAGTCACAATCGTACGCAGAAGTTCCTTTTGTTTGAATGCCAGAATGATGCAGCTACCGCCTGTTGCGTGGCAATGCGTGCACAGGTGAGCAGTGTGCAATGTCTAAAGAGATGTATCACCCAGCCACAAATTTATTGACGAAGGTTATACCCCAGTAGTACTTACTAGTAGGAAACAGGTAACTGAACAAAGCCAAATTTGGATGGTGAGGCGCTTGAGTACTGGTCACGCCCAAGGCTGAGCGCTGAGGCATCACGCTTGCGGCCGCTCGAGCGTGATCATGTGGCAACACGACCGCTATCTGTGTGCTATCGATGAATTTATCTCTCTGTGCTACCCAGAGCTGCTTATAACTGAGAAAGTCAGTATTTAATAACGCTCCTAACTTCATGGCGGCGCGCTCCGAGGACAGTACTCAAATTCTTCTAGGACACGAAGTGAGTCTCCAGTGCTCCTCTGAACTTAGCGGCCATCCGATATTTGAAAAACTCGAGGTCGCTTTCATCGCCTGTTATGCCCCCGGCGGATACAGCCTTCACTTCGGACGCTATCCACGTCCTTATTACTGGGTTTGGAGTATGTACGAGCTCTTGCCGTTATCCTACCTAACACGCTAATTGAATTTGATATTGACAAACGTAGCCCTTCCGGAACTACTCTGAGAACCCCTCATGGCTCGCCGTGAAGGCACTCCACGATGCCATCCTCTCCACCACCAAGGCTCAGCACGCAAGCAGTGCGAACGGAGCCCCGCGCACTCGGCAGATCTATGTCACGGTACTCGAGGTGCCGGTCGTGTACGAAAACGTGCTGCAGATTGTGCCTGGGCTGCATAAAAAGCCGCCAGTGCTGCCATCACCCATCGATCCTGCGTTCACGCCGACGCACCTGCCCAGCGGCGGCTTCGACTTCATCCTGCACGTCGGCGTCGCAAAGCCCGGCGGAGTCTCCCTCGAGCAGCTCGGGCACAAGCTCGGATACAATGCCGTAGACGCAGAGAACAAATATGCGCCGGTCGTGCAGGTGCCAGATGGGTCTGACGGCGAGACGCAGCCCATGCGTGGCTTCGGCAAGGGATACGAGGGCATGCCGGAGGAGCTCTCCACCGTGATTGACATTGCGGGTTTGAAGCAGCACCTCCAAGAACTAGGCACCGAGGTACACGTCCCTTTCTGTGGGTGTATGCGCACCGTGCTGACCTCCCTGCAGAAAGTCCGCTGGAGCAGAGATGCCAGGCACTATCTGTGCGACTTCATTTACTACGCCAGCCTGGCGGAGGCAAAGCGCAGCGCGGCTGAGCAGGCGAAGATGACACCCGTATTGTTCTTGCACTGCTGTCCGCAGGGCGAGCCGTATCAGACTGAAGAGGTTACTGATGTCATCAAGGCAATAGTCACCTGGGTCAGCGCACGACTCTGAACCTGTTATGAAGGAAACCAGAGTCTATATCATTATATCTGTATTCTGTGCTGTCAATTCAGGTGGAGAATAACGTGATTCATCTGTAAATACAGCAACTGGGGAGCACATATGGGAAATTGTACCGCGACGTGCGCCGGAGACTGGCCGGAGACTGAATATCCCACCTGCATTACTTGAGCAATACAGCAGCCATTGTCGACCGACGTTCGCGTATACATATTGCTAGCAAGGGGTATCATTTTACCTCATAGCGCTGTTCTCCCTACAGATTGATATGAACGATGCAACGCACGCATGCAGTTATCAAGATCCCGGAGTGTGTTCCATTTGGGGTGTTCATCCTATTATACACATGCAATGCCTATCATTTCCGTTTTGATGCAAGAACCCTCGCTCATACTACCACAAAAATCAGTTGATAGAGATGCCAACATACTTTGAGCGAACACACCTCGCTCGACAAACCAAACTTGGTTGCGGCCCGACCAAGAACCCCAGATGGAGATGGGCTGAAGCCGGAAGTAGTAAGCAGATATTCATCGACATAGTGCCCAGTGGGCAAATTTCATTGCTTTATGCCAACGGGCGAATCGCTGAGCATGGGGTCATGCCTGCCCGAGGCCTGTATATAAGACGCATCGCTTTGGGCCCTCTCGGTACCCCCAAACCAATTCCACCTCATCCAGCACACTCGCACCTCATCACAGTCATAATGGCCGGTCTCGAGAACAACGGAGTATACAGATTCCGTAACGCCCAAGCGCAAGACGTCGTCATGGACCTCTCCGGTGGTGACAACAAGTCCGTCATCGGCTACGGGTGGCACGACGGCGATAACCAGAAGGTGCGTTCGCGCCGCGCCCGCATACATGAAGCATCGCTTACCATCGTGTACAGTGGCGCGTTGAGCTTGTGCCCGACGACAACCGCTGCGTGTTCATCCGGAACTACTCCACAGGCGGGTATCTATCCATCACGGAGAATGCCTCCGACGGCCGTCACGTCTTCTGTACCGGCGATCCTACCCAGTGGTTTGTTGAACCGGACAATGAAAATGCCTCTTGTTACAAGTTTGTGCCGGTCGTCAATGCCGGTAGCTCACGCACTGACCCTCTCCGACGTTTCAGGTTCAGGATCCCGAACACCAATCAAGTCCTCGACCTCAGTAACAATGGTGACCCCACTCCTGGCAATGTAAGGACCTTTTGTGATCGCCAAGCACGCCTTTCGCGAGTTGCGTGGAGCTAAAGCAGGCTGTCGACTGAGATCGATTAAGCGCTCCGCTGAGAGGCTGGTCGTTGGATGACGAGGAATTCGGTCCAGACCGTCCTGCGGATTCTTCGCAAAAGATGAGATGCTGATTGTAGAGAGAGAAGCAGAGACAGAGACAGTCAGTGGGACCTTCTCGCCCAAGCCCGGCAGCCGAGCTCACTATGCACCCCAACTTCACTTCATATCGATACGCGCCGCAGACGCGGATCTTGGAAGATATGTATATATAGGCCCCCTACTGGTTATGGATCTCCTCATGGCATCGATAGTTCGGATTCTCCGGCGGGTAGGTCTTTGGCAATACGGTGGTCGTTGACGACCTTGGCGAAGCCGAGACGCGCTCGCACACGGGGTCGTCATCAGCTGCTGACCAGATCCATATTACGAGCGCGCGACGGCAAAGACAATCCGCGCCTGCTACACGGGCTTCCGACATTGTACATGGTGAACGACACAGCGACATACATGGTGTAGCAAAAGTTTGAGCCGCCTCCTTCGGGCATACGCTTTCAGAAAAATTGCCTTGCTGGTTGGGCTGGTGCCAGACATTCGCGGGTTTCAACACGTAGTACTCTGCAACTTGCCAATGAATGAGGACGGCATTGCGTGTATTACTGGCATATTTGCGTGGTGTATCTGTGCCTACTGCAAAACTGAAAATATACACTTGTCTTCTCCTGTCACGTCTCCTGGGATAACTCTGAGTCTCGTCAGAACCTGGATACCCGACCCGACCCGTGCAATGTGAGCTTCTTGGACAATAGCTATTATACTAAGCCTTGAAGGCACTTTGACGAGCCCCTTTGATAACCGATGCATTCTGTACTCGAGGTTCGAGGCATGATCCGCTCCATGCACAATAACGACCATTCAGCTACCTCAGCTCACAAACATATATAGACGACAAGGAGGCGTTCGTGTCGGATACGGGCGAATGTGGCAACCACGCAACGAGGGCTATTCAAAATAGCTGCGCTTGCTTTGAAGTCGGAAACATGGTCGAATATCTTGGTGTACACCGAGCCACGCGACCCCGATGCTGTGTGCCCGCGAGTAACTGTTTGCTGTGCTGTGCAGACAACCCGGTATTGATGCGACAGTCCTAGCAGTTGGATGGTGGTTGCCACGGTGCCAACTGATGTCCTTGGCTACCCTTTCGGCGATATCGCCATCGAGCGATGCTAGCATAGGTAAGTATTATTACTGCTTGGTGAACTTGATCATGACGAGGCTGTTGCCAACGCAAGCATCATATCTATCAAACATCATCCCCCATCTCTGGCACTGTGAAACCAAAACTTTCCGGCTTCGTGATCATCGCCGTGGCGCATATGTGTCCGAGCCGGGTACGACATCTGCCTCAGTTGGCCGCGGGTAGCATGTCCAAGTACCAGAGCGAATATACTTCCTGCTTTTCTCGGCGCGACATTCCTGTCTGTAGTAGAAAGGCATTCATCACCTCATGTTAGCACTCAAACAATCTGCCGCGTTGTAAATGGCTGAGCGCATCAGGCAGTGCCTGAGAAAACTAACACGCGGGCCACCTTGTTGTGATTTTACCGAAGTTGCAATCTCCGCAAGCCAACGTTCAACAACATCTGTCGGAGGAGCCCTGTGAGCGCTGCCGAAAGTGGTAAGTTGGAAGTTGTGGCGCACCTCCGCTGTGCTCTGATGGAAGCGACTATCGTCTGCGGGAAATCCAGATATGCGTCGGCAGCCGGTGACACCTCAATTCATGCGCCGCATATCCCGGGGCCCTGCTAATTGTCAAGAAAGCGCAATTAGTCTGGTCAGTCGGCGCGCCAGTCGATGAGCACACAATAAGGTGAGTAATTTCTGTCGCAGCAAGCAACGAGCGGACTGATAGCGGGCTTCTAGTAGCCTTCGTGCTAATTGTCAAAGGAGCTCACGTCTTGGATTGACGGACGCGTCCATCTCATGACCGCCGTGTGTGGATGTCCTTATTGTCTTGAAGGGACGGCAGCTCACGTGGCTTTTATCCGCTTTAGGAAGTATTTGAATTCTTATAAAGACGGACCCCGAGTGTACTTCTACATTTCTTAGTCTTGTTGTCTTACTTCCACCTTAACAACCGTTTCCGCACTGTAATTAATTGAACCATGGATAACAATGCTGATTGACCGCGGTAAGTCTCCCTTTGATTATTAGCGCTCGAAGGTGTCGGGGTCCTAAAATTATCGCAGCCGCCCGACGCAGCTTTCGCACCGCTCCGGCGGGCTGATCTTCCTGTTCGGGAAGCATGTTATTGTTACGCTGTCAGCGCCAATGTATCGCATCCTTGTCGACCGCTAGCTCCTCAAAAGCACCTCGAGCATGGAGCAACGAGCCAGTATTCCCCCTGGCCTGCGGCCTCCACATTCTGCTGCTCGTCTTCAAGCGTTTTCGATTTTGCTCTGCTCGTAGCTTGCTTCGCATTCCTCCCATCGGACACTCTGCTGTGCACATCATCTAGATTTTTGTCTCGGTGCGTTCTCATCCTATTGTCTAATTGTCAAGGCTAAAGCATCGGCCCAGTCTATCCATATATTCCACAGAACATGCAATCGCATTCTGATACCATTGCCACCATGTCGGCGCAGCAGGCGTACCCGTTCCTGTCCCAGCCACCTCACGGACAGGATATATATGCGCCCCGCGATGCTGTATCAGCACCGCACGTACGCCGCCGCTCACTCGCAGCCATCAGCAACTGGGCCTCAAGCGTTCAGCCCGGTGCGCCTCCCCCACTCTCCCCCACAAAGACCAAGTTCGCGGAGTCTTCGCGTGCACCAGAAATCCGCTCCAGCCGCCGTCACTCTGTGAAGCCAGCACCACCTCCGCCCATGGAGTACATTCCGGACTCTCCAAGCAGCAGCGATCAGTCCATCTCTCCCGCGACGAAACAGGAGTTCAAGGCGGAGCTCCGTCCCGCAGAGTATGCTCCTGTCTACGTCCAGCTTCCCAACACTCCTCCCGCAGACCAGCCTTCTGGTTCTCGTAAGGGCTTACGCTTCCGTAGTCTCTCTATTAAGCCTACTTCCCGCTCGAAGTCTTCCACAGACTCCGCTCCTCCGCCGCCGCCCAAGGAGAAGAAGGAGAAGAAGTCGAAGCACCGCGACGAGGGTCAGCCAATGCAGCTCGCCACGGACCTCGCGCTCGCGCAGCTGCTCGGCGGCGGCACGATCGAGCATCACATTAAGCAGGCGGCGGAGAAGGAGGCGAAGCGCGCGGGCGCGAAGAAGGTGAACGGGCAGTACGTCGGCGTCAGCGACGTGTACCGTGACGCCGAGGGCCGCGTCTGGCGCGATCGCGACGAGGCGTGGGAGTACCATGCGCTTGTCGAGCGCAACACGCGCCGCGCAGAGGAGGAGGACGAGGTGTGGGGCCACCGCGAACGCCGTGGACGCACGCACGCAGACTTCGGCGGCGACGCCTCGCCGACATCTTCCCTCGAGAACTACGACGCACCTGTACACCACGGCAAGACCAGGCGGCGCCCAGAGCCACTGGACCTTACCCCCTCGAGGCCATCTACATCTTTGCGCAGGCATTACGTCGAGGACGCTCGGCGAGAGTTCCTCGAGTCTTCCTTTGTTCCTCCTACCGCGCCCACAGAAAACAAGCGTTCCGGCTTGCTCAGCATGTTCAAAAGTTCGTCTTCGAAGAAGGGTAGTCAATGATGGACTTTCTTATATCACATTCGGTACTATATGGCTTTCTTAATTTCATCTTCCCATGTAGCACCAGTGTACTGCTTTCATGTATCATGTTCGGGCATTCATGACCTTGTAACGACTAGTGCTGTGCACATTCTCATTGATACTGATCACTTGAGCCCCCGAAATTTATTGATCGAGCGTGCAGATCCATGACGGACATGGAACATCTTCCGGGAAGACGGCGAAGAGCGGCGTCGGGATACATGAGGTGTGGCAGCGCTGAAATGTACAATGCCGATTATTCGATGCGCAGCACAGTTCTTTTAACTCTTACTATGGTGAGACGTAGAGCTCGTAGAGAGATTGATAACGATGCAAGCACGCACGTGCGGTCGACGCTGAAGCGCTGAAGTCCCGTCCGTGGCGCTTCGATAGAATCTATAACGGTGCGCTTTGGGCGCCTATTCTCTGCAAACCGACGCCTCCCCACCCGAATGACTCAAAATACAGGACATGCTCCTAGTCAATCATCTGCAAGTAGACGGCGATGTACAGTAGCTGTGGAGTACGGCGAATGGGTAATGCCAGAGTTTCCTTGGAGAGCTTCGCACCTTAAGCCTTCACGCACTCCCGTCGGGTGTTCGCTTTCGATCTCCATCTGGCAAGCATCCGCTCAATTGATATCCGACTACCAAACCTCGGTGGATACGTGAGACTTGACACACTTTTTTTTGGTATTCAAGATTGGAATAAAGGCTCAGTCACAGACAAATTCGACACGCCAGAACTTGATATGCAACAATTACACCAAGGAGATGAGAGGATCATGGCGTATGTACTGCTACTCTCTTGCCCCTCTCGGGATCTTCTGTATCCACGCAGTTACTGATACCTTATGATAGATCACTTCCTCTGTCCAGAACACTGAGCTCTTCCGCCAGGCTGTATCGATCGACGAAGACCTCTTGGACCGGCCCACCGCATGGTTCCGGTGGCTACAATCTTGGATGCAATTGTGGTGAAGATATCCTCTATCTTCAGCATTCTCGCATCCAAATACAGCTGCTACCGAGCTTAATGGGGACAGCGTGGCGCATCGAAGCTTGACGACCTGGGTAACAAAACTGGGACGCCGGTGAAAACCCAGGCCTAGAGGTAACGCATACGGAGGTAACTGTATTTAATGTATAGTGGTGCTACGGCCTATCAACGGACTCTAAGGATGACATACGGGGTGGTCACCGCTCACGGGCCTGTCATACAGCAATCTTCAAGAAACAGCGCGACCGACATCGTTGCGGGGGTCGTCCAAGCAGAGCTTGCGAGAGAGCCGCTCGCACTCTACTCCGATATTGGCTATCATATCTACCGCGCTAAATGCTGTCGCCATAAGAGCAGCCCGTTGTTGTCGAGTTGGGAACGTAACCATTGAAGCACGTCGCGGTGCGTCCCTCGTCGATGAACTCAGACGAAATTCTCCTGCCTTGGTCTTTCTGCCCCACTCCCCGACAGGCTAAAGAATTGGTGTGTGTCAGCAGCATTGGGCCCGGACTACTCCAGGCAAACGGCCAGCGCCTGAGCTGATCAGTCGCAGCTGTATCTGTGTCCCGGAAGGTTATCGGTTATGCGCAGCGGCGAGCCCGATGGCGATCATGAACGAGAATCAGCAAACCAGAAGCGCGATGCTTCAGCCTTGTCCCAACCAGAGATAACTATCTGCTGTCGTCGTTATCGTTGTTGTCGTCGTCAATCTTCGCCAGTCCCCCTCGGCTTCTCCTCCCCACCCGCCAAATATCTCTCTCGGGGCCTTGTTGGTTCTTCCTTGAGCGCTCTATGTCTTGAAAGATGGGCGCAAACCTTTTCATGACCTATGGAATGAATATCTCTCGAGTCGTACCTTCAAGGGAAAAACTGGCAACGCATGCTTTTTTCGTTTTCTAGTGACGCCGGAAGTGGCTGCCAAATGTACGTACCTCGTATTTCTCAACCTCTCGATGATCTAATGTCTCTTCTTGGACGAACATGCACTTATCTGTATATTCGTCTCGCGCTACGAAGCATGCAGGCCTACTAGAAATCGCTCGCCTCTCCGGCGTACTACAAGCTGATCTGCGCTACTGTTCAGCTTGTGAGCCTGCATAGATGTTTACGACCGCGGCCAGTAGGTACGCTTGCGAGCTAGCGGCGCGCCCGAGTGTGACGTCCGAGGTACCTGTGAAAGAGCTTGAACTTGCCGATGAAGGTGCAGGAAGGATAGCGTGCAGAGCATATGCTTGAAAGCACGTACGCGCTGTTGAACGCCAATACATATCCAGTTATCTGGTAACTGCGAGGTCCGAGAGAGAGCCTTCAGTGTCGGGATTCGTTGCAGATCATAGATAAACAGGTTGATTGACGACTGGTGTATTGAGAGATGGGTAATCGCCAGCTTTGCGTAAGCCTTGGTGTCGATGGGAAAATCACTGCACATCATTCAGACCGCCCGCAACTTCTCCGTTGACGAACTGAGAAGAGCTCAGCAGATGGTTCGTTCAGTGTAACAATGCTCTCTAACGCGTCTGACGAGGGTGCGGACTCCTATGGAGCTTAGCAAGCTGAAATGGTGAACCCTGGAAGCTAGTGCCAGGGGCGCGTTCATAGTCTCCAGGCTAGGCAGAGCTTATCTAATCAGTCGATGATAGTCGATCGGCTTTGATAGTAGCGCGTTCAGGTGTTAGCGCTAGCCGACATCTGCACACCCTACCTTTCGCCATCGGGTACTTCAGTATATACGCCGTCAGTTATCGGTTGCCGAAGAGGCGTGTCTTGGTTGATACTCGTGAGTCGTGACTGCGGAATATGCGCGCGCCGAAACCAATGCAAGTCCTTTCCTCGCGCGAAGACATAGGTTTAACGGAGGGCTATGTCTAGTGTAGTCAATGTCTTTGTTGTGTCTCCCGACACGCGATCCGAGAGACGATTCGAGTTGCATACATCAATAGAACAGCTTAAGGTGTGTTCCAGACTCCCAATGTGTTCTGGTAGAGTGCTTATAATCATACCGCTCTCGTGCCACGCCAGAACAAACTTGAATTGTTCACTGGCATCCCAGTACAGAACCAGCGTATACTGCTCTTGGACAATGAACAGGATCCGAACCCTGTACAAGTACTGGATGATGACTCTCGCCCGCTGGGGTACTATAGCATACGTGACTGGCAGGTCTTGAAGGTGTGTCCCATGCATTCAACCCTCCACGAGATTCGACTTACGCCGATGGTCGGAGGTTATCGACACAAACCCTTCGACATCTTTCACAGGCCAGCTTACAGATACATCGCAAGTTGAAAAGTTCGAATTGAGTGAGGAAGCATACGCTCAGCGGCAAGGTGTGTCCTTGTACTCCGAAGCGCGTGCTTTCGTATTAGCTCATTATTGGTTGACGTAGATACTGTGTTGGCATACAAGCAGCAGAACAAGATTGGACGGTTCGCCGAGAAGGATCAGCTGCCGCAAAAGCCCGTACCCGAGGTAAACATCCCGATAGGTGCTCGGTGTGAAGTCGAGACGGCGGAGGAAAGCTTCCATAAACGGGGTAAGGTGAAATTCGTTGGTCCTACAAAGTTTGGCAAGGGCGATGGCGTGTGGGTTGGCATAGAGTATGACGAGCCGATTGGTAAGAACGATGGCTCGTGAGTTTTTTATACTGGCCACTTGTTGCTAGCTGATCGTCCGGATAGCGTGAACGGGGAGAGGTACTTCACCTGCAAGCCAAACTTCGGCGTGTTTGTGCGCCCAGAGAGAGTGCGCGTTGGCGATTTCCCGGTCGAGGAGACACATTTCTCGGACGAGGAGATGTAGAGACTGCCGTTTGTGCTGGCATAGGTGAGTATGAATAATGTCCTCTCGGCGTAACACTCAGTGACCTAAGACTCAAACTGGTGGGCAACCGCAACGTTGTACAGCAAGCCTCCGAGTTTAAGCGGTATACTACAGTTTGAATCCACCGATTATGTAATGGCACAATAGGGCTTTCCTGCTCGTCAGTAAGAGTTGTTGCCTGCAGTAAGAAAGATTAGAAAAAAGATAAGTAAGGAAACGAAGAGGGTTTGTCAAGAGTTTTAAAGGGTTCTAGAAAGCCCCGGAAAGAACCTGTGAGACACGCAATATTCCCACGGGCGCCACGCGTTCTACTGCAGACGCTGGACGCGCGTCGCTCTCACAAAGTCTGTGTGCTTACACTTCCGCATAAACGTCAACTCTTTCCTCTACCACCACCACCTCACCGTTCACGACCCAGACATGCCTGACAAGCTCGCTGATACATCCGGCGCAGTCCCAGCTCCCGGCAATGACGACACAGCAACGGCTATCCTCAGGCCGAAGAAGTCGTGTGTAGCCCCGTCTTTAGTCTTGAACGCTGCGGATAACTGACCTCTTCGAAGCCCCAACCGTCTGATTGTCGATGAGGCGACAGCAGATGATAACTCTGGTGGGTTCGGACAAATTGTGCTTCTCCGAATAGACGACTTACGACGGTCATAGTGGCGACTCTCAATCCAGCGACTATGGAGGCTCTCCAGCTCTTCCGCGGTGATACTATCATTGTCAGGTATGTGTTATTTCACTCTCTCAAACCGGATCTCACTTATCGTCGTGTCTCTCAGGGGGAAGAAGCGGAGAGACACCGTGCTCATTTGTCTGAGCTCTGACGACGTCGAGGAGGGAAAGATCCAGGTGAACAAAGTCGCCAGGAATAACTTGCGTGTCAAGCTTGGGGATCTTGTCCATGTTCACCAGTGCCTCGACATCAAGTATGGAAAGCGCGTGCACATCCTCCCATTCGACGACTCGATTGAGGGTCTAAGCGGCAACATTTTCGACGTATACCTCAAGCCGTACTTCCTGGAAGGTGTGTATCTTGGTGTATCGAATTGGGCGCTCACTGACGACTATTCAGCCTACCGTCCCGTCAGGAAAGGCGACACCTTCCTCGTTCGCGGAGGCATGCGGACAGTAGAGTTCAAAGTCATCGAGACGGACCCAGCGGAATTCTGTATCGTGGCACAAGACACTGTCATTCATACAGGTGTGTAATCAGATGTTCAAGACGCCTCATCGCACTTATCATGTATCTAGAGGGTGATCCTGTCAAGCGCGAAGACGAGGAGTCGAACCTTAGCGAGGTTGGCTACGACGATATTGGTGGCTGCCGCAAGCAGATGGCTCAGATCCGTGAACTCGTCGAGCTTCCGCTGCGCCACCCACAACTCTTCAAGTCGATCGGTATCAAGCCGCCTCGCGGTATTCTCATGTACGGTCCACCCGGTACGGGTAAGACCCTCATGGCGCGTGCAGTTGCAAACGAAACAGGCGCGTTTTTCTTCTTGATCAACGGCCCGGAAATCATGTCGAAGATGGCTGGAGAGTCGGAGAGCAACCTACGAAAGGCGTTTGAGGAGGCGGAGAAGAATTCGCCCGCTATTATCTTTATTGATGAAATTGATTCCATCGCTCCCAAGCGTGAGAAGGTGCGTCCTCTTGTTTTAAGCACTCACCGGACAACCTAAATCTATCTCCAATAGACCAATGGTGAAGTCGAGCGTCGTGTAGTTTCGCAGCTCCTAACCCTCATGGACGGCCTCAAGGCGCGGTCTAATGTTGTCGTCATGGCCGCCACCAATCGACCAAACTCCATCGACCCTGCCCTTCGTCGTTTCGGTCGTTTCGACCGTGAAGTCGATATCGGTATCCCCGACCCGACTGGTCGTCTCGAGATTCTCCGCATTCACACCAAGAATATGAAGCTCGCGGATGACGTTGACCTCGAGCAGATTGCCGCCGACACGCATGGTTACGTCGGTTCCGATCTCGCTTCTCTCTGCTCGGAGGCTGCCATGCAGCAGATTCGTGAGAAGATGGACCTCATCGACTTGGATGAGGATACTATCGATGCGGAGGTCCTCGACTCGCTTGGTGTCACCATGGACAACTTCCGCTTCGCCCTTGGTACCTCCAACCCGTCTGCTCTCCGTGAGACGGTTGTCGAGGTTCCCACCGTCAAATGGGACGATATTGGTGGTCTGGATAAGGTCAAGCAGGAGCTCCAGGAGACCGTCCAATACCCTGTCGAGCACCCCGATAAGTTCCTCAAGTACGGTATGTCGCCGTCAAAGGGCGTCCTCTTCTACGGCCCTCCTGGTACCGGTAAGACCCTCCTTGCCAAGGCCATCGCCAATGAAACCCAGGCGAACTTCATCTCGATCAAGGGTCCCGAGCTGCTCACTATGTGGTTCGGTGAGTCGGAGGCAAATGTCCGTGACGTCTTCGACAAAGCTCGTGCGGCAGCGCCTTGTGTCATGTTCTTCGACGAGTTGGACTCCATCGCGAAGGCTCGTGGAGGCTCTGGCGGTGACGCAGGTGGTGCTTCCGATCGTGTGCTCAACCAAATTCTCACGGAGATGGACGGTATGAACGCGAAGAAGAACGTCTTCATCATTGGCGCAACCAACCGTCCAGATCAGATTGACCCCGCCCTCCTGCGTCCCGGTCGTCTCGATCAACTCATCTACATCCCTCTCCCCGACGAGCCTTCGCGTCTTTCTATTCTCAGGGCCGCGCTCCGGAAGTCTCCTGTCGCGCAAGACGTAGACCTTACATTCTTGTCCAAGAACACACACGGTTTCTCTGGTGCTGACCTGACCGAGATTTGTCAGCGTGCGGCCAAGCTTGCAATTCGTGAGAGTATCGAGGCCGATATCCGGAAGGCACGGGAGAAGAAGGAACGCGAGGATAATGGTGAAGAGACCATGGAAGAAGAAGAGGAAGATCCCGTTCCAGTCATCAGTCGGTAAGTGCTCGTGTGTCACATGGTGCAAGAAGGCCGCTAAGCCCATCCTCTAGTGACCACTTTGAGGAAGCCATGAAGTTCGCTCGTCGTTCAGTATCCGATACCGACATCCGGCGGTACGAAATGTTTTCGCAAAACCTCCAGCAGTCGCGCTCGTTTGGCTCGAACTTCAAGTTCCCCGAGTCTTCTGGTGCACCTGCGGCGCAGAGCAACACCACCGCGAGCAATGCAGGCTTCGGCGACGACGCCGCGGATGACGATCTCTACGCGTAATGGCCTACGACTGTTTGTTTTCCGTTTCCTTGCTGTCCTGACTGTACTTTTTGCCATCACCAACAAGTTGAAAACGCCTAGAGCCGTCAGGTGGTTCACCGTGTACAATTGAATGAGATCGAGCAATTATCACTCCTTGTCGTATACATCTCAGTGCCCTCGGGTAGATGGGTGTAAGTTGACCGTCAAGAGTACATGCGTCTAATTTCCACATGGACGTCGGTCAGATCCGAATATCATCCTGTTCGCCTACTATCGTGGCTTCATTACGTGCTATGTGTCGAAGACTCCCGTTAAAAAAGCCTAGATACATCGGTATAAACAGCTATTAGAGTGATAAGAATTGCTTCGAAGCTCACAGCGATGTGAGGGACCGTGTCGCGAACATGCCACGTTCTGCATGAAGATGCGCTGAAGGCAACAGTCAGTTTGGGTCTAGTCTATGAGTATTGAGGGCAGTGACGACGCTACGTAGGGCTAGTCAATGCCATACGCTACGCAATGGCCGGGTAGATTTCATATGGTCGAAAATTTCTAGCACGCGGGGATATGCGCGCTTAGCAAAACTTGTCCTACTAAGCAAATGGCAAATCAAATTGACTCTGCACGATGATATTGTGAATATGTACGGATCTGACACTGGTGTGTAAACGAGTTCAGCCGGGCCCTAGATTTTTTTTTTGGCTATGGAGCATATAGCGGTCTCCCGCACACGCCACCGCATACGGCAGCGGAGCCTGAGGCCTGAGGGCTGCCACCGCGAAGCAGAGTGCATGCTACATTTCCAGGACACAGTAGTACCCAAGATAAAGGGCCAGTACTGGGCCCAGAACCTGATGTCTCGAGCCTCGACTGCTGGTGACCGGTAACCCCCTATTTACTGGTCGAGAGGTCCGGGTGGGGAAGCAAAGCTCTTCGAAACCGATGCGAGGAACTTTACATGCTGGAAGAGAAGGCTGCTAGTCCCCGCTCCTTTCTACGGTCTTCGTCGACTAGATCAATGACTGCACATCCCGCCTGCTTTGAACATGGATGTGCATTTGGCCCTATGCGACCAGCCTCGACCTCCGCCAATGGTGTTTGCGCTGGTTCTCATGCTAGCTGTCGTGGAAGACGAGGTATGCGCAGGATTTTCTATTGCTGAAATGTGCCCCTGGCGTAAGGGGTTGGAAATTGAGGTGACGACACCATGGTGGACGGCTGGCGGTTGATAGCCGTGGCGAAAACCGAGAGCTTTTCTGCTCTCTATCTTGTCCCCGTCGTTCGTCTCCGCTGCCACCTTCCATTCCTTTCACACATACTCGCCCGCTCTCATTTACGAGCATCACAACGCACCCTTGGCGGATTCTGTCAATCATCTCGGTTCATGCCAGATGAGGATGGACGCACGACGGACTCTCGCATCAGCCACCAGAACCTTGTCCTCCTCCAACATCAGAGAACGTCTTTCGTCTATATCCACGCCCCTCAAACCTGTCGTATCATTACACACAAAAGTCGAGTGCGTGCACCGGGCACAGCATCGTGGAAACATACCCTGACAGAGACGCACCTCCAGCTTCGTCCCCGCAGATGTACCCCGCAAGCGAAGGCTACAGATGTTGGCCGTAGCAATATGGTCGACGACAATAGCTATAACCATGTTTGTCTGGCTCTTCCTGTGGTACGTCGCTGTGTCAAGCCCGCCTCGGAACGTGGTTCAGACATACGTGCTACGTTTTCAGGTCATACCCACCGCTCTGGCCCATCCTAGTACTCTACGTGCTCTGGATGTTCTTGGACAATAGCCCAGAATATTGTGGATGGATAAGCCCTTGGTTCCGTTCATCGAGGTTCTGGAGGTACTTTGCCGAGTACTATCCCGCATCGTACGTCACACTTTGCTCGCCGCACAAGACTTTATTAAACGCAGGCTAGCTTTTTGAAGGTAGCTGCCCGCAGCGCGTTCGCCCTGAAATGCCGAAACTGAACCTCTGCGCAGACATGCGACCTGCCACCAGATAGGCCATATGTCTTTGGGTACCACCCTCATGGTGTGCTCTCCCTGTACCCCCTCGCGCAAACCTGACGTACTGACCCTATTGTAGGGATTATTGGAATGTAGGCCATTCATATACTGTCCTCTAAACATTCACCACTCTCTGCACAGGGGTGCAATGTGCACATTTGCTACTGAAGCGACAGGCTTCTCGCAGCAATTTCCAGGCATCGTCCCGCATCTGCTCACTCTCACGTCCAACTTCCACATGCCCCTGTATCGCGAGATCATCCTTGCTCTCGGCATTCGTTCTGTGAGCAAGAAATCGTGTTCGAACATCTTGAAGAAAGGTCCTGGTCAGGCTATCACTATCGTAGTAGGCGGTGCGGCGGAGAGCCTGAGTGCGCGCCCCGGGACGGCCGACTTGACACTACGAAAACGGTAGGTCCTATTTACGCTGCCACATATAGTTACTAATATGGCTATACAGACTCGGATTTATTAAACTCGCCATCCAAAATGGGTGCGTCTCTATCGCGAAAGTACCCATTTGGGGCTAACCCCAATCAGCGCCGACCTTGTTCCTGTGTTCTCCTTCGGCGAGAATGATGTAAGCACCCACGAGAATAGTTCATCATCAGTTCTCCTGACGGTTTATTGCAGATATACCAGCAGATGCCAAATGAGAAAGGCACAACCGTTTATGCGCTCCAGAAGAAGTTCCAGAGCGCGTTTGGTTTTACGCTCCCACTGTTCCACGGTCGTGGTCTGCTGAACTGTAGGTCATTGCCCCTCTGTCTGGGGATTAGCATGAGTGAACTAGTCCTGTAGACAACCTTGGACTATTGCCATATCGCCGGAGAATCGTCGCAGTCAGTGAGTATCGCATAATCTTCAGCCTCTTGGCATCCAAACTTATCCACTCGTCCAGTCGGAAATCCTATCCATGTCCAACAATGCGACAAGCCCGCGCTTGAGGAAATACGCCACATTCAGACACAGTACATTGACGAGCTTATGAGGTACGTTGATGTGTACTTGCCAGTACTCCCGGACTGAGTTCGTGCGTAGAATTTGGAATACATACAAGGATGAATTTGCGCGCACACGGCAGAGGGAGCTCAACATCATCGAGTAGCAAATGGTACCCACCGAGACTTTGGTGTTACATTAAACACGATGCCTCGTTTCGCCCTGGCTGGCCATTCACTGTACCATGTAATCATCGGATAATGTAGAGGTAGCACGATAGGGCTCTTGAAGCTCGATCTTACGCATAATGCACGATTATTACACACACTTCATAATCATGTTCCTTCGATCGCTTGCAGCGTCTCGCGCCCGAGGTCCATCCTGCGCTCGAGCACCCGGAGGACGTCTTCGCCAGGGTTGCACTTCGCCAGCCTGTCGTAGTCGTACCACACGAGCACTGAGTCCGACTCGGTCACGATCCGGCGCTGCTTGTAGCTCCACGCGACGGCCATGCAATGGAAGTGTGTCTTCGCGAGGCGGCGCGCCTGGTGCTCGGGGTCGACGTGCGTGTGCGCCGGCCCCGTCTCGGTGTGCGCCGCTCCAGACAGGGGCCCCGCGTGCGGCTTGTGTGCGATGAGCAGCGTGTCGGGGTACGTCACGGGTCGCTTGTAGTTGAGCGACACGCCCTTGATGATGAGAGAGACGCCTTTGCCCTTGATCATCGCGTCCGCCTTCGCTGCGCCGCCGATTTCGTGCCCGAGGGACATCATCCATTTTATGCGGCCGGACTCGAAGAAACGCACTGCACAACGTCGTCAGAGATATGCGGAGTCAAAGATGTCGGTGTACGCACAGTACCGGACGTTATTCACGTGTCTGTGAGATGTAGGACCTCGTGAGTTTGGCAGTGCCAGCGGAGAGCAGGCAAACGCACTGGAACGAATCGTGATCCCCCCACACGATGGGTTGTTCCCAGAAGCCCTTAGGATCGTAGCCAAGCTTCGTAAGCTCGCGACGCGCCTCCTCGGCCGCACCGTCATCAAACTCGTCAAGGCCGTGGTCCTCCTCATGTGCGGGGCCCTGTGTACCCGGCGCGATATGGAAGGGCGATGAGGGGTCTTGGAATTGCGCGTACAGTGACTACTGATAGCCTGTCAGCGGAAGACCAGGACAAAACGAGGAGCACTGACCTTGATAGATGACGAGTGACGGATGCCCAGACTCGAAGTGCGTACCGTGAGCACCGCTCGAGACTGTCGCGCAAACAGGGTGCGATAAAAACGGGCCATGCACGCGAGCCTGAACATGATGTACTAGGTGCCGAGCTCGTCGACGAAGAAATGAGAGCAGGGGAGGGCACATGCCTTCGGTATTTCACGGGAGTGCGGACCCAGTACCCGCGCGGAGGTTCGCGAGCGCCCGTGTTGCTGCACGTGCCCAATAAACGCGAGACGCGGGGTTAGGTCATCAACATAGCATTTCTGTTATTATTGCTACCCTGATCGCTACCATCCTCGAAGCACTTCTCACCGTCTCCGCTAACCCATGGGCTATGGTTACTCGACAAGCATCTGCGCACTTGACAGCCCAAAGAAATGTTCTCAAACCTACGAGAGGGTGACCCGTGCTACGCACGGGCAGAGAAAATTGAAAAAAGAGATTGAAAGAAGAAGTCAGAAGAGAATTAAGAGAAATCGAATGAGAAATGAGAGGAACGCACCGCCCGCCGCCAACCTTCGGTTGGCTGGGCATGCAGCGCCCCAGTGAGAGGCGCCTCGTGAGAGGGATCACTGGCCAATGAGAGTGCCTCTTTGTCTCGGGACTTTGACGCCCGAGGTGTTTTATTACATTAGATTTACTGTATGCCAACACCGTTCAGAAAGGCACGCTTGCAACTGAAACAACGGCTGTGCAATGCCTTTCCGGAAGCCGGATATATTGGCGAGTGCCTATCGTGTAATTATTTACTGTACGAGTTTGAATGGGAGCAACGTCACGCGTCACAGTCCTCCGCAAGGGTTGTGATTTTTGGGTCTTGTCACGGAACTTTGCACCAAATCTGGGCCAAAATCGAGATAAATTCAGCGAAAAATCTCCAAAAAAAACCAAAATCGCTATTTTTGGTAATTTAGCGCACGTCGTTGCTCGCGCAGATGCTGGCTTGGATGTCACACCTCGGGGATTGGTTGCTCCCATTCAAACTCGTACAGTATGCCGCTCGTTTCCGAGACATTCAGACTGCACTGCTTTCTGTTTCAGCATTTATCTGAGTGCCATCGATATGGTCAGTCCTTATAACCTACAAATTGTTGAAGGCTCTCGTCCCAGATCTCCTCCGAAGCACTAGCGTCTTCTTGCTCGCCATGCTTCAGGCCCTACAAACCCTCCCCGTCGACGATAACGGCACCAAGCTAGCGTATCTCGACAGTGGCGTGCCATCCCACACCTCTCCTTTCGGTAATCGGTATATTACCATCTTCGCCCTCCATGGCATGGCCTTTACCTGTCGTAGGTGTCGTCATTTGTGTAGGGGTGCTCCGCTGACGCGCCACACCAGATGCGTTTGAGAAAATAGCAATTGTGGCAAGTAGTGCAGGTGTACGTTTCGTTGCAATCTCGCGCAGAGATTACCCTGGCTCTACGCCCCTGTCTGCGACCGATCTGAGAGTCCTCAATGATGGAACCGATGAAGAGAAGGCTCAGCATGTGCGCAACCGCGGTGTCGAGATTGCCACCTTCATCGACAAGTTCGTCGAGCAGAATGAACTCCCTCCGCCAGACGAGAAAGGAAGTGGTGGCGGGTTTGCGATCCTGGGATGGTCACTCGGAGGCACGCATGCTTTTGCTACAGTGACGAATATTGACGCTCTCGCCGATGCGGCAAGGGCTCGCTTCGCTCATTATATGCGCTTGCTTATTATGCTCGGTGAGTCGATACATAATAACGGCGGTAGCGAGGTCATTTAGGGCGAACTGTTTGTAGAAGTACCCGACCTCCCCATTGGAATAACCCCTGCTCCCAAGTCGTGGGGCCCCACTCAGTACAAGAGCATCCCGCTCGATTTGCGACTACCTTTTTTCAGCGGCTGGATCACCTCATATTTTACCCATGGTGACTTGAGCAAGCGCGACATCGACGAAATAGAGTATATCGTGCCGTCCCCCGCAGGAGTGCCAAGCATCTACAACATGTCCGCGGAGCAACGAGCGGCGATTGTATACAATGACTGTGCATTGACGAGCGAGATACCGCTGATGACATGCTGTGCCGCGCAGTTACACGCGACGTATGAAAAGGCCGCGTTCAGCAAAAAGCTCAGAGAAATTTTGCCCAATATGAAGGTGTTGTCGCTGGTCGGCGATTCTGCAGCGTCTTTTACGTTGGTGGCCATGTTCGTCATGGAAAAAGACGACGCGGCACACGGAGGCGGGAATATCCAGTTCCGGCTCATCGAGGGCGGAAATCATCTTGTAAGTACTTATCAAACTCGTGAGAGAATGCGATCCTTCTAACGAAGATCTGCCACAGATGTTTTGGGATAAGCCGGAAGTGACTCTGAGGACGATACTAGATACCATGGTATAGACTTCTGGCGAAGCTAATTGCACGGTCTCGATATTAACGTCTGCCATTGCTGAGTCTGCACAACACTAGGTGGAAGCATCAGGATCACAATCTTTAGGTCAGAATGTGAGCAAGCTTGGGCAGCGGTAGCATTCCGGCACAAATAAGACCCCACCCGCATGTTCGTCACTCTCGCTGTTGCCGCCAAACTCCCGCTGACTCCACCGTGTCAAGCACCCGATACTCAGTACTTGACGTCAACGTTCTTCAATATCTCGAGTTCCGGCCTAGCCATAGTGGCCGTTTCCCCGGCCCTGACGTCAATCTGTTCAATCGAACCGCTGCTGCAACTCAATCTACTCCTAGCACAGGGCGGGCGCATCGGCTTCACTCTTATCATTTGGAAAGCGCGATTTGAGAACTTGCTATCGGGTGGACATGTATACCGCCTTGCCTCTGGGAGACTGCTCAGTATGTATTTCCACGGGGTGATTACAATCTTCAAATCTTGAAGCATGAAGCACCCCGAAGCACCTTACCCGAGACCTTCGCCGCGGCACCGCTTTCTGTTTCAGCGGTGATATATTTGTCTGAGTGCCCTGGATCTGGTCAGCCCTGATAACCTACAAATTGTCGGGGGCTCTCATCCCAGGTCTCTTCCGAAGCACTAGCACCGTCTTGCTCGCAATGCTTTAAGCCCCACAAACCCTCTCCGTCGACGGTAAAGGCACCAGGCTAGCGTATCTCGACAGTGGCGTGCCACCTCACGCCTCTCCCTTTGGCAGTCAATATATCACCATCTTTGCCATCCATAGCATGACCTTTACCAGCTGCGAGTGTCCTCATCTATGTAGCCTCTGCACTCTACTGACGCGCCTGCCAGACGTATCGGGAAAATAGCTTCCACAGCGAACCCTCCAGGCGTACGCTGGGTGTCAATCCAGCGCAGAGACTACCCTGGCTCCACGCCCATCTCTGCATCAGATCTGGACGTCTTCAACAGCGGAACCGACGAAGAGAAGGCTCAGTACTTGCGCGACCGCGGTGTCGAGATTGCTACCTTCATCGTCAAGTTGGTCCAGCAGAATGAACTGCCCGCGCCAGACGAGAAAGGAAGCGGTGGCGGTTTCGCGATCCTGGGATGATCGCTCGGAGGCGCGTTTGCTCTCGCTACTGCAGCGAATGTTGACGCTCTCGCCGATGCGGCAATGGCCCGCTTCGCTAGGTGTCTGCGCGCGATTATACTGCTCTGTGAGCCCATACATAATCACACAGACCATTAGATTGCTCATCACAAGCCGTTTGCAGAACCAGGCCATGCCACCATTGGAATGGCCCTCCCAAGATATGGACGCCCTTCCGAGACGAGAGCATCCCGCCTGCTCAGCGTGCATCCGCTTTTAACACCTAAATCACCGCGTATTTTGTACATGGCGATCTCACTAAGCGCGGCCACGACATGCTCGAGTACATCACACCCTCGCCGACACGGGTGCCCAGCATTCCTAACATGTCTGCGGAGTAGCAGGCGGCGAACGTATATAACGACTGTTCATTGACGAGCGAGTTCCCCCTAGTAAGGAGCTGCACTCATCAAGTGTACGCGACGTATCAGAGAGCAGCCGAACATGGTGGTGTGGGCATTGTTCGGCGACTCTGGACCGTCGTTTTCGTTGTCGACGATGTGGCACACGGAGGAGGACGATAAGGCTCATGGATGTAGGAACATCCAGTTCCGCCCCCTCAAGGGGGTAAACCACTGCGTGAGTATTGTCTTTACTCAAGCGAGCATGTGATCCCTTCAACAAAAATCTGCTATAGATGTTTTGGGACGATCCAGAGGTTACACTGAGGGAGATACTAGACACCATGGCGCAACTTTCTGGGGAAGAAAAAATCAAGAAAAATCTTGGTAGCTCGGAAATTCATCGTGGGCGAGTAATTGTTCTTAAATATTCTACTTAGCTTCGCCGCACGACAGCGAAGGGCTTAACTACACTGTGAGGGCTCTGAGTCCATTTAGAACGTTGAACGTTGAATTCTCCAGTCCCGTGCCAACGCATTTTTCGCCAGCTGTGGACAAGATATCGCCCTAGACCCTCGGATGTCGCCCGTCTCGGCCGCCGCACTCTACAAGCTGCCAATTCGAGATCAGACCCCTCAAAAGCGGTGGTGAGCTCACCCTGATCATGTTGCTCTTCTACTCGGCACCGAAGGAGATTGGCATGCGCTTAGATCGTCGCTTTACTGAGCCAGTCTGCATACAGGAAGTGAGACAGGAGTAATTCAGAATGCTGTCCTTTATGGGTTAACAAGCATACATGAGTCTGTAGCTGACGATGATATACGTGTAAGGTGGTAGCAGATACTTGAGTCATTGAGGCCGCGAGATTGGCCGCGCGCGAGAACTACGCCATCGCGTCCAGTAGTGTCTCAAGCGTGAGCTCGGGTTCATCCCAATGCATCTGTAGCGGATCTTCGTCAAGGCAAGCCCTCGCTTATATGAATTCGATAAACACTCACGAAGTGGTTTCCGCCCTTGATGAGGCGGAAGCATATATTTCCACCTCCATGAGCCCTATCGTCTCCCTCCATGGCGAACATACTCGGCAACGAGACCGCCGACGTACGGCCACCAAAGAGCGCGCACACCTTCATATGCGGCAATATTTCTCTAGCCTTCTTGTCGAAAACCGTCTTCTCATACAACGCGCGGAGCTGTGGGGCACAGAATGCCAAAGAAATCTCGCTTTTCCACGCGCAATCGTTGTATATGATTGCCGCACACTGCTCGGCAGACAAGTTGTGTATGCTCGGAAACCGCGTCGGCGAGGGGACGACGTACTCGAGAGTATTGAGATCGCGGTTTTCAAGTCGCCGTGGTCAAAATACGCGGAAACCCAGTAGTTGATCATAGGCGTGCGCATAGGAAGTGGAATGCTCTCGTCCAGGAGTGAATTCCACGTTTTAGGCGGCGGAAGCGACCCAATAGAGACAAATGCTGTTTCTGCAAGTAACTCGTCAAGGACGGCCGCATGACTAGCATGATCACCTTCGGACGCACCAAACAGGATAAGTGATCGCATGTATCGAGCGAAGTGAGCCCTCGTTGAATCTCCAAGAACGTCCACATTAGCGGTCGTGGCAAGTGCGAACAGAGCTCTGAGCGACCACCCCAGGATCGCGAAACCGCCGCCACTTCCTTTTTCGTCCGGCGGGGGCAGTCCGTTCTGCTGGATGAACTTGTCGATGAAGGTAGCGATCTCGACACCGCGGTCACGCAAGTACTGAGCCTTCTTTTCGTCGGTTCCGCTCTTGAGGACGCTCGATTCGGCTTCAGAAAAAGATGTGGTAGTCCCTGCGCTGGATTGACACCCAGCGCATCCCCGCAGGGCCCAACACAAAGGCTATCTTCTCAAACACGACTAATCTATTGTGTAAGCAGAGCGAGCGAGACACACGATCGATAATACTCACGGCCACTGAAAGCCATGCCATGAAGGGCGAAGATGGTAACATAAAAAGGAGAAGTTTAGGATGGTACACCGCTGTCAAGGTATGCCAGCTTGGTGCTTGTAGGGCTTGAGGCATGACGAGCAAGACGATGCTGGTGCTTCGGAGGGGACCCACCTCCGACGACCCGTAGATTGTATTATATGAGGACTCAATAGATGACACCCAGACATCTTCAGACATGAATGCATGAAGGTCGCTGCTGAAATATGCACCAGGCGCCGATCAACTTTCGCGAACTTCTCGTCGATATACGAGGACTACATATTCTCTTCTTGCTATCTGAGGCACTCTCGCAACTGTGGCAGTGGCATCTTCGGTCGATATGTTACAAGGCGCACGAGACACCTGGGCTCTGCTCTCCAACTGATCAAGATGCAGTTTTATTCCACTTCTCCCAATGTGGTTTTGCATCGCTACCCGCGATAGCGAAAGCACTCCTTACCGAACGTCATTCACGCCAACTAATGAGAGTATCTGGAGGGGCGCGACATGCCAAGTATACATATGTTACAGTGCTCACCTATCTTCACAGGCCATCTCTACTCGATTTGATCTAAACCTGCATGGAGTGGATGACCCACTTCGCCCGAAGTTTTCTTGCGTACGCGAGTTGCGAGAGCCATGTATTTCCGATGTGCTTTGCATGCATCGATGTCTTGATGCCACAATGTTTGCTTGTGCCTCGGGTGCAGATCCTATACTTGGAAGTATGGGGTACATCATTGACACGCGTGCATCTTCTTCGGATGCGTGCCCATCCATAAACTTTGTCTATATATGCAGCTCGTTTCTACCTTTGTCCCCACCTCTCCTTGCCGCTCAATCACCACCACCAGATGGCTTCATTCTCCATTAACAATGCAGAGTCTGCAAAGCTTAAGGCAGGTCCCCGGCTTATCCTGTGGCTTGGTGTCTCTAAAGGAAAGGAAATTTCTAGGGAAACGAACTGTTTGTCGCGAAAGACTACGAAGGCGCAGTCAAGTGCTACACTGACGCGATCCGTCTGGATGCGTCTGACCCCAATTACCCACTGAACCGGTGCTTTGCATATCTCAGGCTTGGACGGTTTGTATCCCTCTCTATCTGAGTATGAGCCTGGGTTGAAATCATGTCTAGGTGGATCGATGCCGAACACGATGCGACCGCGGTGCTGACACTAGATGATCACAATCTCAAGGCTTTGTATCGGCGCAGCCTGGCGCGGAAAGAATGGAAGGACTTCACTGGCGCACGTGCAGGTACATTGTTGAGTGGCTGAACGGCGTTCAGATCTAATCGATCTTTTTAGATCTCCTTGCTTTCGCTGATGCCGGCGGCGACATGAAGACTGTCATTGAAGAAAATATCAAGCTTGCCACGGCGGAGGCGAACGCTGTCATGCTTGCCGCGGACACGCCTGCTTGCGGTGTTCGGATGGCACCTTCTGAAGGTTGTGGCATCGGCATTTTCGCCACACGTCCCTTTTGTTGTGGAGACCTGATTGTCGTCGAGAAGCCTCTCTACACTGTGAAGAACAGAACACACAAGAATATCATGGAGGAGATTGAGAATCTCAATGACGATGAACACTTTCAAATGATGCAGCTTCACAATAACAGTCCAGAGTCGTTTCCAACTCCCTTCATCGGCATACACCATACAAACACATTTGGAATCGACAAAGGCTCGTCTGTGCTCTGCCTTCGCATTTCGCGATTCAACCACTCATGCAGTCTGAACACCCGATTTGCATGGCACGCCAAAACCAACACAGCCAGAGTCTTTGCCCTACGCCCAATTGCGGTTGGAGAGGAGATTTTTCACTGGTACCGCAAGCCATACAAATCCACGCGCACACAGAGGCAAGAGCTCCTGAGTGACTTCAAATTTGTCTGCACCTGCTCGGCGTGCACTCTGCCCGAGGATCAACAAGCTGCGAGTGACAGCAGGAGAAAGGAGATCGGTCGGCTTTGGGAAGTCAGCTTTGATATTCCGTTGAGCCAGGCAGTGTGGCGGGTCCAGACTGACACTCGTGTTGTGCACTTGCTGTGCTCAGAAGGGATTGCCGACGAAACTGACCTGTTCACGGTCAACGCGGCGATTATGTGCGCGTACCACGGTGACTGGGAGTCAGCCAAGTATTGGGCCCTTGACACGTACAAGGCACACGTGCACCAGTTCGGGGCTGACTGCCACGAGCGGACGACGACGGAACTCATGTGGCAACTCTTGTGCAATCCACGAGGGCTCGAAGGGGCTGGTAAGGGGAAAAGAAAGATAATCTCCACTCGCCTGTGATGAGGTAGGCTAGCTAAACCTAAGTTGCGAAGTGAAAAAAAAATGCTGTAAAGATTGTGCCACGAGATATCCTCGTCCGTGCTTTTGGCTTCTTTCCATTCGCCCACTCTGGATACGCATGCAACTGCACTGGCAAGGCCCGAAAGCCAGTTCGATGCCAGTTGAATCGCCGCAGCAATCTCTTTACTCGCTGCCCAGCAGTCACCACTTGTACCTTGACTCTGAGTGCAGATTCAAATCTTCTGATCAGCTTTGCTTTACTGGATCCTACTGGTCGGTATCTGGAGTGGCTCGCTTGCAGTGATTTGCTACGCCTGCGGGCGTCAGTGTCATAAAATACTCCTGCCATTCACGTCAGAGAAACTGAGATTGTGATTAAAGCTTAAAGAGCTGATTCAGTTCAGCGGCCCAGACACGGGAACTTATTAAGTTACACCGGACTAGCCACCCAGAAGTAAGGCTCCAACCGTTTTGTTCGTTTACTGTGTATAAACGTTTATTACCATTTACCGTTTCCGTGTGTGTAAAAAAGTCTTGTAAACTTGGTGTAAACGTTTATATACAGTAAACAAACAGTTTCTTCTTGTCAACTGTAGAAGGTTCTATTGTTATACATTTGCAGTCTTGCTAACAGATTTGACCTGTGGTGAGCTGAAGAGTGTGCCTCACCACTCGTGCATCATCCTCGGGCAGCCTCTTCAGACTCCCAAGGCATGGCAGCTGCATCAAGCACCAGCTGCACTGTAGCTGCTGCACATATAGTCGCAACTCACTCCAGAGATACGATAGCGGTCATGCCAATAAAACCCATGCTGAGCATAGTCCAAAGGTGAGTATTGCAGAGATTGAAATACTGTATATGTGTTGACTGCTCCACTACATCCAATCTACTATAGACAACTTGAAGCCAGCCCGCAAGAGTGGTGTTATCCTGGTGCAGCATGCCGCAAGCCCAGGTTTTGTTCAAGAGGGAGGAATAATGGTTCTATCTTACTCATGGATGGCATGCCGCAAGGGATAAGTGATGGTTGACCCTGGAAAAGACACGCTACTGAAGTCTGCACTCATGCAGCAGCTTTCTCTAGGTCACTTCTCAAAGCCTAACGTGAGTATTGTACCTGTACGACCAGTCCGTCGGTGGATGTGACAAGTGACGGTCAACCACCAGTCCGGCGGGGCAGCGAGTTTGACCGTGACCTGTGACACCGGTCAAGAATGCGGTGGTCAAATGGTGGCAGTGGCCCAGGCGTGACCTGATAGAGCAGCAACATGAACAGGAACAGTAATAGCACTACGGAAAGTGCATGTAGGTGTCTTCTTGTAATTTTTGCGCTGCAGGCCCAAAAATATCAAATATTGATTTTAGCAGAAAAAAATGTGGAAAGCGGCAGCATCCCTTGTAACAACGTGACCGCTGCTCTCAAGAGCAGCGGTCGGGAGCTATGTGACGCGTGATGCACTGGACTGATTGTATAGGTATAGTATACATCATACAACCACGAGAGTACCAAGCTGAGATTTGCACCAGTCGCTAGCCCACTACCTGATGGCGACGATGGGACGCGCCGACCTCCTGAATCAAGAGTCAATCTTGCATGCTTCCAATGAAGCTAGCTCCGCGGACACCTCTGTTGCCAAGTCTGCCCTCAGGTACTATGCTACCTCGCAATGCTATCCTCGCTGATTGGAACTTTTTGCGCGCCTTCAACCCTCTGCCACACTGGGCCCGTTGAGGATATTGCTATGATATCTTGATTCTTGGGTGGGAAGTCATGGCTTCGTCTTCTCATGCATTAAGCGAGCGCCCCCACATACATCGCAGCTGCGCCACTATAGTGTCAGCTTTTGTGCCCCCCTTTTCAGGCTCAAACCAGCACAGAAGGTATTTGTGTCAAGCTATAGGCTTGCACAGTTTTGTCAGAAGCTATTCTGGCACGATTAAACAAATACCTGTGCCTACAAAGGGCTTCGCACATCACCTATGGCGTTGTGGCATGTTAATCATGTAGATCATAAGTAAAACTCATGGAACTAATCGGACACTCAAGCCTTTAAGCCAAGAGTTTCAGTTCGGCAGCCCAGACATGGGAACTTATTAAGTTACACTGGACTAGCCACCCAGAAGCGCCCAAGAGGGGCTAAGACACGCTGAAGAATTTCCGAAAAGCCCAAAAAATGGCACAAGCAGGAATTGAACTCACAGCCTAAAAGTAACTGCAATGCACTATACCACTAAAGCATAAGACCTTGCAAATATAAGGTTAGAATTGCCCTATAGTATCACTTTTCTACCTCAAAGTCTTAGCTGTAATATTGTAGCCAATTATCAGATATTAAAGCAGTGAAATGTAATTGTACAAAGGTATATTCTAATGGCATGGCTAAGACATTGATGTGGCTAAGACACCTGTGTGGCTAAAACATTGAATCATTAAATATTTGCTATTGATTCTGCTTATTGTACAAATGTATATCCTGATGGCATGGCTAAGACACCAGTGTGGCTAAGATATTGGAACATTAAATATTTGCTATTGATTCCACTTGAGTATAGTTCATCTGCTCTGGTGTTTTAGCCACACTAGTGTCTTAGCCACGCCATCAGGATATACATTTGTACAATAAGCAGAATCAATAGCAAATATTTAATAACTCAATGTTTTAGCCACACTGGTGTCTTAGCCACATCAATGTCTTAGCCATGCCATTAGAATATACCTTTGTACAATTACATTTCACTGCTTTAATATCTGATAATTGGCTACAATATTACAGCTAAGACTTTGAGGTAGAAAAGTGGTACTATAGGGCAATTCTGACCTTATATTTGCAAGGTCTTATGCTTTAGTGGTATAGTGCACTGCAGTTACTTTTGGGCTGTGAGTTCGATTTCTGCTTGTGCCATTTTTTGGGCTTTTCGGAAATTCTTCAGCGTGTCTTAGCTGCTCTTGGGCACTTCTGGGTAAGGCTCCAACCGTTTAGTTTACATGTAATTTTTTTAGTAAACACACATTAAACAGTTCTAAACATTTATAAACAATTTAAAAACAGTAAACAAACAGTTGCCCTTTATCCGACTCCCGAATGTTAATTTTATGGCCACAAATGTGTGGTCATATTTAGTGTGTTCACGCAGCCACTCTCTTATAATACAAGCAACGAGACGGAACTGCTTTTTCCATCCCATTCTCCTACGCTCACCTCCACAGTACTTGGCCAGCGCACTTCACTGCAAGGCATCCACACTGTTTTACACAGCCAACAAGCCTTCGACTAGCTTGTACCAACAACTTCTCAAATGGCACCATCTAACATGACAATAATCAATCTCTCCGCCTCAGTAGTTGCGTCGCCACTCACAGTATGCAAGAGGCTGGTGGTCGGCACGCCCTTCAACAAGCCTGCCGCTGATGTGGTTGTTCACAGCAGTGATGGTATCGATTTCTACATCTGGAAGAGCATCTTGGCCGAGTCCTCTTTGTTCTTCAAAGGCATGTTCATGCTATCCCAGACCACCAAGCATGTCAAAGACGAATACATTGATGGCCACCCTGTAATCTCAGTCTCGGAGACCAGTAAAATGCTACGTTCTTTGCTTCTGTTCTGCTATCCTGCGTGCAATCCAACTCTTGGCATAGACAAGGACATTTGTGCTGTCTTGGAGGCTGCACGCAAGTACGACATGGAGCATGTGGCTGAGAGGGTGCGAGCGCTGTTCCTGGCAGATGTGGAGGGCAATCCATTCCGCATATATGCACTTGCCAATGCTCGAGGTTGGAAGGAGGAAATGAAGATCACTGCCAAGGCCACCTTGTCGCGGCCACTCCTCCTCGAGCTGCCGGCCATGTGTTCTCTTGGGATGGAGGACCTCCCACTGGGCAACTTCTTCAAGCTCCATGCGTACCAGCAGATGTGCATCGACGCCACTTACTGGCTTGTGCAGACCAAGCAGACCAACATGCGCCTCTCCATGGATTGGCTCCCTGCTCGTGCACCTGAGACGGACTGGATCTGGCTGAGGTGTCGACATCGCATTGCCTTGCCTGAGTTTACACCTATTGGCATTGCCCCGAGTGGCGCCGCGAAGACCCATGTCATGCTCAATGGTGTCACGAAGGAAGCTTCATTGTGGTGGGTCTGAGGCGTGACGTTTCAAGCGAGGGCACCCAGGAAGGCTCCCCGTGGTGCAACCATCTTGAGAAAGGATGTGATTGATCCCATTGTCGTCGACGCCTTCAGGAGCTGTTCTCTGTGCTGCGAGACGGCACTCAAAGATCTTGATGCTTTCAGCGAGCATTACGCACAGATGGTGGAAGATGCCATTTAAGTGGTGAGCATTGTCTATGCTTTAGAGCTCACGATTAAGCTAACTGTATGCATGCTGTTCAGGTTGAGCTTGAATTCCAGGATTGCATCAGCAAAATAATCGGTCGCAGGTCAGAGATGGGTTACCAGGCAAGCGCCTAACAGCCTGGTGGGCGCTGGCAATGCAAGAACAGGGGATACCAGGCTGATATCACACTGCAGTTTCAACACGGACCGATATGTCATTGTAAGTCATTTCCCATCCTGTTTTAACTAGACATGACGCGGCCAGCCCACCCAGATCTCCACTGTGACGTGACGTCATGTGTGCCGCATTCCGAGAGGTGTTGCTGACTGTCACATATATGTTGACTGGCCAAACAAACAACAAAGTCTCCTTCGACCTCCCCTAAAGTTGCTCTGGTGAGTTTCCTTTTATGTATTTATCCATATAAGGCCGTCGAAGGCCATCCACTTTCCATGCTCCTTCCTTCTGCCCACCACCATGCCCCCGCCCAATAGACAGCCACCCCTGGATGCCATTGTCCTCTGAGATTCTTATCCCCACTTCTACTTTCCCCTCGCTCAACAGTGACTCCACTGCGTGCTCACTCAGCGCAGTACGTTCCAAGGTGCGTGAGCAGTAATTTCTCTCGCATTAGCACTGCAGTTGACTACTCATATGCACGGCAGCCGCAGCACCGACTTCCACCTGCCTGCATGGCTATGCGAGGGTCCTGTAATGTAGGAGAACAGTGCAAATACACAAGGTCCGTTGATGCTGTCCTACCTAAAGCGTGCCTCAGACTCAGGCTCTTTTTGTCACTCACAAACATCCGCATATGGTACGTGACATGCATATATGTGCTCAATTGCTTATAACTGACATGCATAGGCCCTCGTAAGACATTCCCGCTCACTCAGCAAGCTAAACCCTTCTACCCTATGGTTTCACTCACATACTAACGCCATTCTTAGTAGCTGTATATGGCCCACTCTCTCGTGCTCCGGGACCCACACAAAGCCCTCGCAGTAAGCATAGCAGTCTGCAGGTAGTTTCGTACATGAGAACTTATGCACACGACTCATTCAGGGTTCGCTTTATGCATGCTGTGCGCCAACTGCGTAGCCGTTGCGCTGGGAGCCGCTTGTTGGCTGATATCATGTTTGCATGCGACGCGAATCAGAGGGCATTCTCATCTCGATACTGCCATTTTATGCAATACATATACTTTGTATTCTATAAACCTCTATGAATATATTTCTCGCTGCTCCTAATTTTGATGTGCAAATCAGTCCTGAATATTTTTGAATATCCAACAAATTGTTGCGAGCGCTCAGGCAAGTGCTGCCAGCCTGGCACTCCCTGGTAATGCATTACCAACCTTACCCGAATGGTAAAGGTCCCCAGACTGGTAAGCTTTAGTTATCATACAGGTGAGATATCTACCTTGGCAAGCCTATTCTCATAATGACTACCTTTATAAGCAAGATTAGCTTTGCCAGGGCTGTTCAGGCTAGGTAAGCTGCCGATTTTTTTGCTGATGTGAGTGCTGAGCATTGATATCTATGCATGGCGTTGAGTGCCTTATTTGAAATTTCCCTTCTAGTGTCGACATTCCTAGTACAATCGCAATGATAGTCTCGAATAGATCTAGCGAATCACACAAACTGCTGGATATTTCTATGCCCCTCACTGTACGCTATCTTATACAGGGATGCTATCTTTGATTGTACGTTCGAGGAGCGAGAGCGAGACAGGCATTGGAAAGGGCACAGAAACAGAATAACCTGAATGATGGCGGTTGCGCGACTACATGTGTTACACACACCCTTACTTCGCTGAAGTAGCGATGACTCTCTGTCACCAAACTTATTTCACGAGCTTGTCCTTTATATTTCGCACGATGTTCGAGTACTCTACGGTGCTACAGTGAACATGAGCGATTACATATGTATGCCAAAGAACACAAGGTGTGTAAAAATAACTGTTCAAGCGAAGCTAAATTGCAATGAGTACCGGATGGCATGATGGACTAACAGCCAGAGGGAAGATGTCAGTGACCGCGTGCTTGTTTCTCCTTCAAGGCCAAAACAGTCTTCTGGCGGTGCTTGTCCGGGAAGGGATCTGTGCCCGAGATGACATACCTTTCTTTCTGATGCCCCCTGGATAGAAGATGTCGTTCGGTGAGCACTCCTGGGCAAGAGACAGTGACTACGGTGGCCGTTCTGGCCAGTGCTTACGTCGGCGACGGCGTCAGCGTCACCCAGGGTAAGGTTTGGTGTGACGGCGGGTTTGATGGCGGCATGTGAGCGCGAGGCGCCAACATCGTGGCGTCCGTGCATGTCGCTGCGTATCCGCAGCCTTCATCATGTAATCGAAATCCCGGCGGCGTGTAGTTGCTGGCATATACATATGCGCGAGGCTTACAAATATATATGCACAATACCCAATAAATACACACCCCGGGTATACGGAGCCTGGCTCTTGAATCGTACAGTCATGTAAAAAAACAAAAAAATAGGCTCAGCAGCCCATCTCGACGCCGTCGTAGGGACCGTCATGGTCCGACTCATCGCCATCGAAGATCGTTGGGACATCTCCGACAATGCAAAGGTCACTGGGGTTATCCTGGCCTGGTCGCGAACATCAGCTACACCAGGAACAGATAAATGAGAGCACGTACCAGGACAAGCCTCCCAGACATCCTGATCAGTGATGTGCACTTCGCCTGAGGGGTGGTGAAAGCCGAGGAACATGCCGGGGACGATAGGGATCGGATCCTCCTCGTTGTTAATGTGCGTCAGCGAGGTCACATGCGCATCAACGTAATTGGCAAACGCCTGGTTGCCGACGCGCGGAAGGCCGTAAAGAATAGTCTGGAACGAGACGCCTGAGAGGTGCAGAGGGAGATAGACCGAGTCCAGCAGTGAAATTGCGGCGCCGAGCGAATGGCCAGCTATCGTAACCTTGGTTGCACCGAACCTGGAGATGGTGGTCTGTACGGCGGACAGGATCTGAGTAGCAGTCCTAGACTCCACTTTTTAATCTGCTATCGTCAATGCATCTGAAGAGACCTTACTTGGCTTGCTCATCGGCGAAGCCCTGGTGCGCCTCAATGGAAGAACTTAAGCCTGGGAACAGAGTCGAGTCGAGGTTGGCCATCTCGATGTCCCCATCTGTGAGGAGAGCAAGGCTAAGGGACCTAGAATGAGCGCGTGTATACAATCAGAGATATGAAATCAGCTTACATCGAACTGGTGTTGGTACCTTGGTGCGAAACGATGGCAGTGTTCAGGGTGGGATCGAAACCAACATACCCTATCGCGGCTCTAAATAAATCTTACGGCGCTTCGCGGTTGCAGCACTCACAGAACTGGACGTCGCTACCGTCGCCGCCAGACGCGACAGGCTTGAATGAGGGGTTAGCCTCGCAGTTTGCACCGCAGGTCCACGTCAGGGTCTCGGAGGGTTGACAGTACGCGGTACTCGCGTAGAACGTGAACGGCTTGAAGCTCTCGATCGTGGCCGTCGAGAGCGGTGTGATACTTTGGCGGGCCTCGAGCGAGGGTGCTGCAAGTGCGGTGGGCAGCAGCGCAACGAGCGCGAGGAGGCTAGTGGAGACAGCCATGTCCGAAGAGGTCTGACGTGGGCACAGAAAAACTAAGGGCTCCGGCTCCCCTGGAAAGGCGTCCGAGGGTTATTTATCCCGTTCGCGAACAACGTTCGTCAGTTGCCCGCCGACGGCAAGCGACATGGAAGAGTGTACCATATGAGTTCTGCTGCTGTACATGGGCCTGTGCAAGAGGGTGGGGTGGGAGTGTGGGCGACACATGTGGTGCAGCATCATGCCCTTGCTATAGTCTATCGATCTATCAGCACGTGTGAAAGGATCCAATCCGGCTGGCGCATCTGTTGCTATATACAGCCTGTTGAGAGCGAATAGCGGTGCATCGTTGGGCTTCCTCAGCAGCCTTCGAAGGAGCCCAAGAGGTGGACGCGTGAGGCATGGGCGTTACATTGCCCTTGTGGCTCGTGGGCCCATTTTGGGTAACTCGTACTCAGCCGTCGAACGAGTGCATGCACCTGAGCTCACCGAGGGCAGGCTATGTGTTGGTTCCAAGAGAAGCCTACGTTGGTCGCTAGCTTGCCTTGGTGGTGCCGGTGCGCGACATTTGATGTGTACACCTTCAAACAGAAATGACAGATTGACAGGAAGATGGAAGAAACAACAGCCACATGGATGTGTATACGATGTGCAATTTCGCAGGTTCGAAGAATCGCTGAGAAAAAATCAGTACACTTGGCTAATCACGCCCCGTAGGCCCGCATGCTGAACAGTGAACGTTGAACGTTTGAACGCTGAACGTGAACACGGGACTTGCGGAATTTCAACAGTCTGATTTCCTGTTGTGCAAATATGCATGCACGGCGTTGAGAGGGTTCGCGGACGAATGAAGGACGCGATCTATTTTTATTCCATGATAAACAAGTTTTTCTCGTGGACAGAGAGATGGGCGGACGAAGCACACATCGCATGATTTAGAGATGTGTATATTGATACCAGAGAGCGAGGAGATTGAGCACTAGAGCATGAGGGGGCAAGCTGGGGGTGGTTACCTTGTCTGGTGCCCTACCTTCGTGGAAATCGGTGATGGAAAGCACGACAGGCTAGGCTACAGGGAGTGGATGAGGGGCAAGCGACACGATAATTGAGATCACGTAAAGATGACGCATCGACGTTGCTCAACATCTTCGACGACCCGTAACCATGACATGCCCGCGCGAGGTGACCGTCCAACAACAGCCGCCTCTAACCTCACTCTGCAATTCGGAATGGTCTTTTAATTTGGAATGCCCTGCAATTCGGAGTCCCTTGCAGTTCAGAATGTCGTCATTTTAATTCGGAATGCTCGAGTGCGATCCGAAATCCGCCTGTTCCCGTCCCACCGCAGCAGAGCGGCGTTGATGGCGGTGGCGTGCCTACCGTGCGTTTTCGTGGCTCCCGGAGGTGATCTGTGCAGCGAATGGTCGCGGACTTGTGATGTGCTCACCTGAAGCCGTAGTCCTTGTCCGCGCTCTCTATCGTCCTCATCATTATTTAATCATGAGTTGTTCTCAAACTAAACATCGGAAAATGTGCTGACTGAGGTTTAAGCGAAGAGCAGCCAGCGCAAAAGGGGTTCCTGTGTATCCGGCCGCACTGTGAGTGGATGTTGACTAGTCAGAGATAGATATTGCGCTGCCACAGACCTCGAGTGAAAAACGGAAGCGACAGAAGTACCGTTTGCGAAACGACCGTTTCTTCGATTGTGTGTCTAAATGCCTTCAAGCTACTTCCTTAGCTCCGGTGTTTACTAACTGGACCTGCCCCTATCCTCTGTTCCAGCGATCGCGACATCTTTTCCTCACTATCGAGGTCCGCAAGGTGTGAGTACCCTTATGCCAAGAGCCCAAAGTCGCCAGGCATAGTTTCGCCCCTTCGCTCAACACAGTATCCGCATCTTCGACGCCGAGTTGAGCTTCTACACCGTACACTCTGTTACGGCGTGCGCGATCCTGAACATTGAAGAGTGTATTCCCGGAGATGTTCGAAGTTTTGATCAACGTCGTGAAGCTGCTTGGCGCTCCAACTCGTACGATAGGCGCGCGTCTTCATCGCGGACGTCTTCCAGTTAGGCGTCTTCGCTTTGTTGCGTCGGGATACCCTCTATGCGCCCACTGCGCAGGAACCCTGGACAGTGACCCCCCAGGTGAGCGTAGGCATCTTGGTGATAGCATGGGAGTGAGCTAATGTTGTGCTACAGCAGCCTTCGACGCGCGAGACGCGATAGGATCTATCCAGACACGTCGACGAAATGCCGCGTTCTTGGACCAGGCTACTCGCCGCCCTTACAACCCTCTTCGTCCGTGTTCTCGTCGCACGCTCATACAATTTCTCTGCACGCATCCATCTCTCGTGGCCTCTTGCGGTTCATCCCGACAGACAGGATGGCGGACTACAGATATCTTTGAACACGGGCAAGTCGGCGGACATGAAGAATACGCACAAGCAGGGCCAGGTCACGAACGTTGCTCCGGGAGTTTTCAGCAGGAAAGTTGCCACTGTTGGGGATTTGCATGGTGATCCGGGAAATGCGCACAAGGTGCTCAAGATGGCCGGGGTGGTGACTGAGAAGGGGAAGTGGTCGGGGAATGTGGACTTCTTCATGCAGACTGGGGACATCATCGACAGGTGCGCGATGTGCATTCACAAAAGAGATGGCAGAAGGTACAACTTCTGTTTGACAGGCGATAATACGATTACACCATATGACTGGATGGAAGAGCTACAACGCAAGCTTTGGAGAAAGGCGGCAACGTCATCTCGCGTCTTGGCAATCACGAATGGATGAAAGTTATTGGTTAGCCTGACCATTATGATCTTCTTTGTTTACTGCTCATCGTTAAAATGGTAAGTGTTTATGTCGACGCGCTCCTGATGCACATCTTCTCCAAGCACAGTGACGAGGACGAGGACGAGGGACATATCGCATCGTCGCCCGGCAGAAATAGAATGCGCACCAGAACACTGCTTCGCAATGACCAACCGAGTCTCGCACAGAAACCACAGACAATGAATGGCGCCCCCGGCGCGGCTGCACGGCCCTACGACGACGAGACGATCACTTCAGATGGCGAAGATGCTCCCCTGTGGCGCGACTATGGTGCGGGGCACATCGTGACCAACAAGCCGCGCCAGAGCTCCTCGTCAGATTCGGGCTACGGTTCGCCCATGCCACGCAACAAGCCACTGCAGCCCGACGACATGCAGCCGATACCCGTCATCTGGGGCGGAGAGCCGGGAACGAAAGCTGCGTCGAAACGGCGGTCAAAGACGTCAGCCGCCTCTGCAGATCCGAAGCGGTCACAGTCGACGCGTTCGTTCTGCTCGAGTGGTGCGGGCGCCCGCGACGCGCTGGATGGCGAAGCATGTACATCACGCAGTCTGGGAGATACACTCCAATTCAACGTTCTCGGAGGGTCAGCATGAGCGGCAGAGCGTTCGCCAATGGTGCAGGAACTATCAGGCCGGCTGCCACTCCGGACTCAGCGGAGACCAACCTTATAAGGTCGCGCAGTGCCAGCACGGAATCTGCGTCGTCGAATAAGCAGAGGCTGAGGAACAAAGAGGAGAGTGAGTGGCCCATGTTGTTCTAGTGTCGCGGACACTCCGTTAGACGCTGAATATCGGTACCGTTTGCGAGTCACTCCCACAGCTGGATCGTCGCTTTCTGGGGTAACTGACTCATTCTGTATAACCCTGTAGGCCCACAGTTGTCATCTTCGCCACGTCATGTACATAAACTGGAGGTTCAGGGAGTAAACTTGATTATTTCGTCGTGCCATCTTGTTCATGGATCTAAAATTCATAACTTTTGGTATATAGGGCACCACAGGTGCTCGATATGCTAATCGTGGCATCCCTCTCCTTCACACACCGCAGTCCTACCTAGCTATCTGACGCAACATGAGCGGTACTATCTGGGCATCCCCTCCTGAGCCTCCCACCAAGCTTGGCCGTCATCGGCCTCTGGCACCTCTGGCAGGCGTGCATGTCTCTCCCATTCAACTCGGTGCCATGAGTATTGGCGACCAGTGGCAGCAGTACGGTATGGGCACGATGGACAAGGAGAGTAGCTTCAAGCTACTTGATGCGTTCTACGACGCTGGCGGAAATTTAATTGACACAGCCAACGCCTAGTGAGCTGCGGTGTCTAAATCACCATATCTCATGAAGCTGACATGCGTATAGCCAGGATGAATCGTCCGAGCTCTTCATCGGCGAGTGGATGGAAAAGCGCGGCAACCGTGAACAGATCGTTCTCGCCACTAAGGTCCGCCGCCCGCCGCGTTGATGAGGGCCCATGTGACTGATATCTTTGCTTCTCCAGTACACCACCAACTACAAGCGTGGAGCCTCGTTTGCCGAGTTTCCCCAAAAGACGCACTACGTCGGCAACAATATCAAATCGCTGCACAACTCCGTAAACGCATCGCTCAAGAAGCTACGCACGGATTACATCGACATCCTATATCTGCACTGGTGGGACTACGTCACCGGTATTGAGGAGGTTATGAACGGTCTGCACAATCTCGTCGTGCAGGGCAAGGTGCTCTACCTCGGTGTCTCTGACACGCCTGCCTGGATCGTCTCAAAGGCCAATACGTATGCGCGCCTGACAGGCAAGACGCCCTTTGTCATCTATCAAGGAGCATGGAACATCATGCAGCGTGATTTTGAGCGCGATATCTTGCCCATGGCCCTTCATGAAGGTATGTATCTCAACTTGAGTGAATGTGTTCCGTCTGACCATCGGCTTAGGCATGGCCCTGGCGCCTTGGAACGTCCTTGCCGCGGGCAAGATACGCACAGACGCAGAGGAGCAGCGTCGCCTCGAGTCGGGTGAGGGTGGCCGCACCTTGTTCAGCGACTGGAAGCGGACCGACGATGAGCGAAAGGTCTGCTTGGCTCTTGAAAAGGTTGCCGCAGACATTGGTGCAAAGAACATTACTTCTGGTGCGCATCTAGCCTTAGTCCTCTGCCGTCTGTCTGATGAATCTGCCCCCTTGCTGCAGTTGCCATCGCATACCTTATGCAGAAGGCTCCCTATGTCTTTCCGATTATCGGCGGACGCAAGGTCGAGCATCTGTACCAGAATATGGAGGCCCTCGACATCTCTCTTACTCCTGAGCAAATCAAAGTCCTTGATGACATTGTGCCATTCGACAAAGGCTTCCCCTTCACTGCCTTCGTGGGTGCAACGCTATCAGGATCTGTAGGGTTTCCGCTGAATTTGCGTTCCACAGGGCGATGGATCCGATTACGACCGTATATATAAGTCTGCAGGTCATTTCGATAAGTGGCCTGTTCTCCAGCCAATTCGCCCTGCACCCAAACAGTAGGGTTGATATGTAGTGGCACATGTATTCCTCGATACAAATGAAAAAATTTACGCCGAGCCTGCAAAATACTCTGGTACAAACAGATTCCAACAGTACAACAACATCAAGGCCGATAAGATATTACCCGTGCAGAAGGAGTAGCCGAAGGCGATCGGTGCGTAGATATCTGCCAGTGCTAAAGTAGTACACTCCTTTGTATTTCGACGTTACACAAGCCAACTTTGTGAATCTCGTCCGTACGTATGTGAGCGGCTCCGTATATGGCGGCAAGGGTGAAGCAAGCACTCCAGGTGGCGACACTGCTAACGATCTTATTACCACCGTCGACAACAGAGACACCAGTGATACCGTTTGCGCATAATCCGGTAGGCGGCTCTCTGCAAATCGATTTGTAGTATACAGATGGGTCTATTGTTAATTATGCAGGGGTCCCGCCGGCGCGAGGCAGAGGCAGGGTCTCCCTTGTACTTCCGGACCCACCGCGAAGAAGCCGAGGCAGTATTAGGTTGGCCCAAGTTTCCAGTGGAGAGTCATTGTCCAATAAGTAGCACGGCATATAGCACGAGGCTCCGGATGGCATCGTGTTCTGAGACCTTACGCATGATCATTCGCACGACATTTCCACCAGTACTGCTGCTAACACCACATTTCCCGCCCTATTTGAGCCACCAGTGTTGACGACATTGGTGCCGTCGTTGATAACGTTGCCACCATTGGCATTGTCAGCGCTTCCAGACTCAGCGTTGCCGCCGCTGCCGTTACATGAGCCTCCCAGGCCATTGCCACTGATAGCGCTCCCGCCTAGACTGTCCCCTCTATTGCTGGCGATGTTCGACCTATCTACGTTGACGATGGTACCGCCTGTGTCGATAACGCCGCCGCTCCTGGACGGGCGCATTACTGGCAATCCAAAACGCGTACGGCGGAAGTACAGAAAACATACAAGCGTCGCATTTTGCCTCTGCTACAGCCGAGGTGACGGCATGCTACGCACGCAAGCTAGCAAGCGCGTGTCGTAGCCGAAGCACTCTCCCTGAGCAGCCGCAGCTTCTAACACTAGCACTTTGTGAGCTTTCAGCAGAATATCAGGAGAAGGGAAAGTCGTTGGGCTCATGACGGCCGTCGGCTGTGTTTCAATCGTGCGGCCGATCCGTCGAAGCCAGTCGAAGCCAGGCCCTTTTATCCATATACAGACGAGGCTAAATAATAGCGACCGATTCGGACATCGTGCATCATGATACGTGCCAAGGGTACAGGCATGCACGGGATTAACTCGAAACCCAACTTGGACCTCAAGCGTGCGAACCAGACTCAGCATGATTTATAAGTTGATCAACAGCTAGCTTTTCATTGAGGCGTTTAGAAGAGCCTAGCTTCGTGCGGCGGGGACTTGATACAGGATACTGTACCTGATGTGAAAGTTCCTGGGGGCTGAGAGTAGCAGGTAAGTCGAGAGACGGAGCCTGAGAACTTGCTCTATTTGGCTCTGTTGTCCAACAGCCTCTGGATCTAACAAGAGCAAACACAGATGGACGCCCATCTCGGTCTTCACGTTGACGTTGACCGTCTTCATTCAAGTCCTGCCGCTTTTCGTTCTCATCTCCGGGTCTACATTTATGTCCCTTCGAAGCTTCGTGGCCCTTCAAAAATGACATGTACAGCATTCCATACTATTGGTAAGTGAAAAGAAACAAAAAATCCCGCGCAGATCTCCTAGCCCGCGCTGTAATCATTCACAATCCGTCATACTACTAACCACTTCCATCTTGCGTGCGTCTCCTACGGGAGTTCTACTGCTCCTCGGATAGACAGGTAAATTTGAAGGTTCTAGACGCATCTCGGACCCCTATCCTCAAAATGGGTGACTGAATAAGGGTCATCCACACCTTCGTCAAATTCGCAATGCTATGAGTACGATCGCGCGGCTCGGTACTCTCTGCCCCCGCGATGCACACGCGGAGGATCGCACCCCCACGGAACACCTGATAAGGAGCCCCGCAGAAACCCTGAGCACTCGTGAGAGCTGTCACTTATCATCAAGCTCAAACAGTCGGCTGAGCCCATACCTGGGATCGTCGTAGCCCAATTTTGAGCCAGCTCGTGAGCAGTTGGTTGCCAGTCCAGTGTCCAATACAAGTCGAGTTACATATCTGGTATTCCGGGAAGACATGCGTCGTCCGGCTCTTCGCGTGCTCTTTCCAGGCACGTCGGATGTCGGAATGGTGGCGCGACACGTCTGCATCCGCCCCATTCTAGAGGCGGGACGGCTCGAAGTGGAAGAGGTACCAGCGGGATCGACGGTTTGAGGCAGGGACAGAGACAGGACACTGCCCATATCTCGAGGGGCGTATTCATTCGACCCCCCATATACAACATTTTCGCCGTCCCTACTCTCCAGCGCACGCAAGACCACCATGCTCCGACTCACGCTCGCTGCGGTCGCCCTCTCCGCGACTGCGCTCTCGGTGTTCGCGTCACCCCTTTACCTCTCGGTGCCCTCGCGCAACATCCTGAAAGCCGAAGATTTCGAGAAGAGTGGCGTGGGCTCTCCATACGCTGTCCGTCCTTCGGCCAAAGACGCAAGCCATGAGGCTTTGGCGATAATGCTCCAGGGGCGTGCGTTACGCAACGAAGACGATGGCAATCAGTCCACTCGTGAGTCCAGATCTGTTGGTGCGTAGCTTTCACGCTGAAGTGCAGCGACACCCGCATAGCGTTCCACCCAATGCACGTTGGGAACCGCACCATTATCATGGGCCCTGGTCCAGTCCGGATCAATCACACTCGTCATCTGGGGCCAGACTCAATTATCGTCGGTGGAAGTCGAACAGGACACGGAAGGAATGGCACAGAGAGCTCAGGCAGTGCAGGGTCGTCTCGCGGTGGCACGGTGATCAATAACGGCACCCAGATCACGAACTCTGGCGGAGCCAACCAGTCAGGAAGCAACGGTACGAGCACTGTGGGCAATGCACAGGCGGGAGAAGGCGCAGATTAATTAACCAGGGAGATATTTCATGCTATGGAGATATAGTTCATGTCCGCCCTCGACTGCGAGGTTCGCTTTGTTTTCAAGAGATTGTTGCGCAGCAGGTGCGACGTCGTTCGTGTCCAGACATGGAGAGCGCTAGAGCGCTAAAGGCCCGTTCAGGCCGAGGGCCATGAGGCTCGTATCCTCGTGTCATCGTCAAAGTTTCAGGGCTATAGATAGCAGCTCAGAGAGAGACAAAAATAGCGGGCCCATAGTTGTGCTCCACCATGCGAGAATGCCTAAAAATAAATGACCTTAGCTTTCGTAACTTTCGTATCCACTGCTTCGGTGAAGGCAGAGAGAGTGCGCAATCTTAGCAGCCCATCTCGACGCCGTCATAGGGACCATCGTGATCAGTCACATTGCCGTCCCCGAACTCAGGAACGTCGCCGACGATGCACTCTGTGCTCGGATTGTCTTGACCTGGAGCCGCCAAAACGCGTTAGATGCTCCCGTCGGCACCGAGAGTCACAAAAGACGCACCGGGACATTGTAGCCACATGCCCGAGTCCTGGATGTGCACTTCGCCAGAGGGGTGCACGAAGCCGAGGTACATGCCAGGCAAGATCGGGACCGGATCCTGCTCGTTGTTGATGTGTGTCAAGGTGACATGCGCGTCCACATAGTCAGCGAAATGCTGGTTCCCAACCTGCGTTTAAAGTGATTGCCCGTATCAGAAGCGGCGGCCATGACTACAGAGCGTGTTAAGGCACGAGAGAACTCACCCTCGGCAAGCCGTATACCACGGTCTTGAAGCTTACGCCGGAGATGTGCTTGGGAAGGAACACGGAATCGAGAAGTGCAATCGCGGCGCCTGGAGAAAATCACGAGGTAAACATGGGGAGAATATCGGCATGAACTGGCATGAACTGGCCGAGCGAGTGACCGACCATGGTGACCTGCTTTGCACCGTACAACGAGAGGGACGTTTGGACTGCGGCCAGCACTTGCCTTGCTGCCCTGTGAGACAAGAATAGCCTGCTGAGCATATGTTATATTTAGACTGAGATCGACGATCTTACTTTGACTGCGCATCCGCGAAGCCGCTATGGACTTCAACCAAAGGGCTGATTCCGGGAAACAAAGAAGGACGCAGAGTTGTCATCACTATATCAACATCGGTCAGCACAGGTTCGCTATGGAAAGGCGTTAGCAGACAAGGCAAAGATAACGAGAAAGAATCACGCACATCTCATCGAATTTGGTACCCTGGTGGGAGATGATGACCGTCTTGAGGCTCGGATCGTATCCCACGTACCCTGACAAGCAAAGCCGGCCGATCGTCAGCGAACAGCCTCGGAAAACAAAACCGAAACGGTGCCGTACAGAACTGCACATTGTCGCTATCTCCGCCAGAAGCAACAGGGATGAAACTGGGGGTCGCTTCGCAATTGGTCCCACAGTCCCACTGGAGTGTGGTTGGGGGCGAGCAGTAGCCGGCACTCGCGTAGAAGGCGTATGGACGGAAAGCCGATATCTGGCTGTCGTTCAGCGCGCGGATCGGCGTGCGGATCGGCTGCTGCGCAGCGAAATCTCGTGGTGCTGCTTGCGCCACGGCTGCAAACGCCACCAGCACAAGACACGAGACGGAGCGAGCAAGCATGGTGAGTCGAGAACTGGAGTGCAGGAGACTAGGGGACCCTTGAGCTCTCTTGTCCGACATCCAGATGCTTTTTATGCGGCGCTCTTCCAGTGTTGCCGAGCAGTCTTGAGATAGAGACTGTTTGGTGCCAGAGACTAGTTCAAGCCATCATATCAGCCCTGACTCTTCGTTGTGCGATTCTTGGGTTTAGACTGTGTTGTGATAACACCTCCGAGACAAGTCTCAACAGCGCCCGAGCCAAGCCAAGCCATATCATTTAACCCGAGACACCTGCAACACCCGGGCGGTTTTCTAATGCGCCATGCCCAGGGCTAGCCACTCGATAGCGCAGGAACGCGTACCGAGGGTATGTGGATGGTCGGTACGCTGAATCCCCCAGGAGTCTAGAAACTGTCTGAATCAGCTAATAAAGGTATAGAGGACATGAGGCTGCCTTTCCTCGCTGTCTCAAATATGCGATGTGCGTGATGTCTCCCGCCGGCGCTTGCCAAAGCGGCGGGTAACCGGCAGGGTGGCTTGATCAAAAGATGTGGCACGACCCTGACGGCGTACGCTTGTTCGAGTCGTGGCTGCTCTACGAACGCGTTGGAGGATAAGAAAAGCCGCTTGGATGCTCGCCGCGCACGCTAAAAATAGCGACGCCACGCGAAAGGTGGCTTGCATAGCGCCTCTCTTAATTGACCACAGCGGACGTGCATGCTGCCCAGCATCAAGTGACTGGTTGCCATCTGCTGCCTTCGAAAAGAGAGATCCAGAGAAGCTCATAAGCATTTTGGGTGTACAAAGAAGGTTAACGAAGAACTTGCACCTGTAGATGCGCAGCACGCGGACGATGCGCTCCAGACGCTCGTAGAAATGAACCGCGCTGCAGCACGCCAATATTGAGTAACCCGCGAACTAGGAAAGACGGACCTTTCTAAGCGCTCGGAGGAGTAAAACCTAGAATCGACGTCGAATATCCTAACAGCGTACTTGTGCCACAGTGCTTCCCAGCCTGGAAAAAGATGACACACGAGCACTGCGAATCATGTAACCTGTCGTGTCCTCTGGTGGCGACAATGCGCTACGCGCGAGCGGTCGTGCGTATCGCCCGCTTGCGACAACAGCGAGCGCAAGGTGTGCGAGGTGGGAGGTCCGGAGGAGCAGGAAATTTCGAATAAGCTGACTGGAGTGAAAAATGCGGTCGCTGCTCCGCGTACGCAACGTACTCCGCACCGGAGAGGCAGGCAAAGCACTGTAAGAGACTGGTGTGAAATACGCACATGTTACGAAAGGACTGAAAAACGCACTTGGCGATTACGCGAGCTTCTAGCTAGGCGGCAGAGCCGGTAGCTACTACGCGTCGGAGGAGCGGCCGACCGCCGACCGCCGCTCCGCCCCGCCTGTGCCTCAACCTTGCGCCGCCGCCGTCCCGAGCTCCCAAGTGGCGCAGACGACGACGGCGGGCGGTGGGGAGGCAGAGGAAGGAGGACGTCCCTCCGGACGCTCCCTGCACTTACGTAGTCCCGCGAGAGAGGGAGGCCAAGCCGAGAGATCCAGAGGGTCGGTACCTTGCGCCAATTGTGCCGAAGCAGTGCGGCCTGGTATTTGCGGGAATCTGCGGTGCGTCCCTAGGCCATTGGGGATAGCGCGGTCCTCGCGTCGGGGGATAGGCGTCCGTGCCTCGCCCTTCATGGCCACTCTCGCCCCGGATCACAGGAGCGCTCGCGGAGGGTGCCAGCGGGCGCGTCCAAGGTTTGGGCGATCGAGGGAGCATTCGCCGGCGCGGGACGACCAGGCGTATGCAGCACTGTGCAGGGAGGAGGAGGAGGCGTATTGCACGCGTGTGGCGACGCGGTGGCGGTGTTTCCTACCCTAGCTGGCTTCGTTGGAAAGGGTCCCAGCTCGCGGGGTGACAAATGTCCGCGAGCTGACGACATTGTCTCAGCCTCAGGCTGCGCCCCGCGGGCGCATTATGGAGACATTTATCAGACCAAGGACCGAGGCCACAGCGACCCCGCAGACGTCACCATCGGAGAGGGAGAGCTAATGCCACGCGGGCGAGGAACGCTAACGCCGCTCTGACGGAGAACGGAGATGGGCCGCGGTCCTGAGGCACGCCTCCGCCTGTGAGAACACAAAACGGGCCCCAAAGGGTATAGAATACGGCGCAAAGCGACTAATTGTGCGGCGGTGCGGATGAAGAGCCTGCGCCACACCTTCGCGGTCGCTGCTCCCGGAGGAAAGCTCAAGACCTCGGGCCGTAGTTGCGAATGCCCCCACGGCTGTCACCAGCCTAGACGATCGAGACCGCGATGAAAGCTACGCGCACTGCTCTGATCACCTCAGGGATGTCAGTATATGGTCGACCAGCACATCCATCGGCGTAATGAGAGGGGCATCACGAGTAATGCTGGTGGTATGGCGAATGACCCCAGCGCGGCTGGCTGTCATTGAGCACTGCAAGGAGGTGCATTGGGTATCCCCTCTTGTCGGTCATGTCGGAACGTCGGGGCGAAAGATGCACGGCGGAAATCAGGCATTGTTCTCATCTCTGTCCCCCACGACCCCTCGAACTTGGGAACTGGAGGGGCGGATCACTCTAGACGGATACGCAAGATGGTAGTATGACACTTGCCTGATCGAGTAAAGTCCGACTGGTGCGTCGGTGGATATACCGGGGATCAGATCTTGCCGCTCTCAGCCAGGCTTCGCATCGCGAGCATTCGGCCCCTCGCCCCGTACTCCGACATATGTTCTGGGCTCGTTGTGTACTACACAGGCTCGAGGAAGGCAAACGGGCGGTTATCGCTTCATACCCCTAGTCATGACGCCCGCGGGCCAGCATCGCTATGCACGAGTGAGCTGAGTTCCGCCACCGAAGGTTGTTTCTAAGCGCTGCGGTCCTGGGAACCTGACAGCCGCCGAGCTTCCCACTACGGGACGAGGCTGGGATCGTTGCGAACGTGTTACGTATCGCGGTGCGATACCAGTGCGCGAAACGGCATAGCTTAGTGTGTTCCCAGCATTCGATACCATGACTGATGCCTCCGAGTCACGGAAAGAGGCACGGTTTAACGCGCGCATGATGTCATGTATCGCAGGGCGTTGTATATTTCTTCGTATTGTTCACAGCTCTACGTGACGCTTCGCGACGTCTGAATGCCCGTCGTTGGGCGCAAGGATCGGATGGCATCGCATATCAAGTGACAGCAAGTGACCTCATTGCCGTCAAACATCAAATGTCTGCGGAGGGCTGCGTCCGGCGCACCTCGCGGATGGGCCAACGGCCCGTTACACAAGCCTAGACGACCATTTCGCGGGTGACGAGCGTTTCGCATGCTCGCACAAATCCGCGGTGGCGAGCAGCCGTCATGTGAAAGCACACACGGCATTTAGGAGGTCCCGCAAGGCAAGGAAAGGTCTCCAAGGGTCTCCGCCGTCGAACAAATGACGGAAAAAAATTAGGGTGAATAGCTCACCGCAACTGCAGAAACATGTCCTCCCGACGCCCCTCGTGATGTACGGGGATGCCGCCTCTGGACCCGAGCCCCCGACAGCCTCGCGCCTCTTCGAATTTCGAGTCCAGAACGTCTCAGCTCGCACCGGCCCGTTCGGCATCTCGGCATTCGGTGCGCCTTCACTCTGATCCGTCTTCGGAACGTCATCTATCGCTCGGCTCCGGTGATCAGGGACGGCGCATGTGCGAAGCGCCTGAGAGGGCGTTGCCGCCGGGAGCGGCGGCGGCATGGAAAACCCTAAGCAACCTTTGTGCATATGAGGGCGAAATGAATGGATATGGGCAAATGAGACCTCTTCGATTACGCTAAGCAGGGTTGGCATAGGGGCGCCGAAAGGCAGCAGCTGATCGCTGAAGCAGATCGTCGGGTAGCCAATGAAACAAGAGGCACGCGGGATGCTGATTGGGATTCCTCGTTGACCCCGACAGTCTTGGCGTTTTGGGTTTTGCTCTTAGGGTCTCTGATGCGGCAGACAGCGTCTCATTGTTCGCGTTCGCATTTGGATGCAGAAACGACGGTTCAAGACAGCAGAGCGTGTTGCGTGCTGCGTTGCCGTCGCTCGTTAGACACGCGCCTCTGTTGACTGTGAGAACGCGCCCTGGTTTGAGATTGTGCGGACGTAAGATGCCTCAAAGGTCTCGCACAGTCCAGGGGCCGGAGACCAAGGAATGCTTCGCGGCCGCAAGGCGATGGTGCTGCGTCGGGCGGGTCACTAGTGGGTCGAAATCGCCTCTGTGGGACCACAACGGAGGAAGGCGGGACACTCATCGAAGCAGACCGGGTGTGCGCTGCAAATCCCGAGCACAGTCGGCCGCGAGAGCGTGAGCTGTCGATGACGGTATGACGTCTTCCCTCTGGGGGGAATGGAGAACTCCGAGAGAGGCCGAGCGGGCATCGGAGTAAAAAAATAAGAGATGAAACTGGACGGTCGAGATCGCGAAATTGCTGATGTTTCGTACGCGGATACTGGTCGTTGTGCGGGCTTGGTTTGAAATGAGACGCTAGCTGGGTCTGCTTCCTCAGGGCTAAAGGGACCGAGTGTACCGGAAGTCGTCCAGAGAAGGAAGTTTGCTGCGGCGAAAAAAGGGTGGTGTATGCTCGTGTGTACGTCGCTTGCAGCTGCAAACGGGTGGAATAAATCTGCGGAGATGTGTCCCGTATGGGAGGTGTGCACCTTGTCCCGCAGCTTCTGTCCACGGCGTCTGGGCTCTGCTTGAGTGGAAAAGACAGTCACAAACCGAATCTTGCCTGGATCCCGTTTGTGGCGGACGAGACGTCTTCACATTCGCCAGTCTCCCGAGGAGCCGGCTGGTGATCCCCTCCGGACTACTCAAAAGACGGCTTGTGAACGACGGCACCGTTTCCATTTCTCCGTCCTCACACCCCCCCGTGCCCCGCCTACCTGCATCCCTGCCTGCGCCTAGCAGCACTGCTTTCCCGTACAAAACCAGGGAGGACATTCACCCGCCGTCGCCTCCAGCCCACGGCCAAAGCCCCATCAGCTACCACGTCGACCTATTAGCGCCCGACTCCCACCACCCACCTTCACCACAGTCGTCGACGACAAGCGCAGGAACCAGCAACCATGGGTCGCCGCAAGATTGAGATCCAGCCTATCACTGTGCGTACCTGTTACCATCCTGTTGCCGCTGCGTGTGCGGTGGGCGTGTAGCAGGACGGGACCCGAGGCCTGCGTCGGAGGAGGACCGCCCTGCTGGCTCGCCCCCTGTTCCGGCTGTTGTACCATAATCTGACTTTTCATTTCGGCGTTGTGCAGCACGAACGTAACCGGTCGGTGACTTTCCTCAAGGTAAGTAGAGTGCAAGCTTGGTCCAACCAGAGCCGCAGGCGATTGCTATTTTTGAGCTGGCTTTGGCTTGGCATCGCTGCCTGATCGCCACTCGATACTCGCTTCGCTGCCTCCTTGCTCTCGTCCTTCGTGGTCTCACCAATCCATGCACAGCGCAAGAACGGTCTTTTCAAGAAAGCCTACGAACTTGGCGTCTTGTGTTCGGTCGATGTAGCAGTCATTATTTTCGGTGCGATTTTCTTTTCGCGTATTTTTGCAAGCCATTGAGGGCTAACCTGTCTTACTCGCACATGGCTCTTCTATATATAACGTCCATCCCTCATCGCCGGTACCGTCAACAGAAGAGCGTCCTGGCCATCATGTGAAGCTGTACCAGTACTGCTCCGGAGATGTCGACGCTATGGTGCAGCGTCACCTCCACGTACGCCGCCTCTCGCCTCGCCCTAGCATCGTCTAATCTTGCACTCTACAGTTTGACGGCGAGCGGGACTTGAAGACTCCTGCCGACTTCTCAAATAACAAGAACGACGAACCTGCCGATGACGACGAGGACGCCGAAGACGACGACGGCTCCCGTGTCAAGAAGGAGAAGCCTGTCTCGCAGAGCAATGTCAAGACAAGCTCTTCACACACGAATGGCGGTCCTCACGGCAATATCCCCATACGGCCTGCGCAGAGCGTGCCGCACGATGCTTCCAGGGCCTCGCTCGACATGAGCTTCCGTGGTAGCACCAGCCGCATGGGCTCAACCTCGCAAATAAACGGCGTTCCGATTCTTCCCGTCTCCAACGAGCGCAACTCGAGTGCCTCACGAGCGGGCAGCATGAGCTTGCCTAGCAGCGGCATCTCGATGCCATTGTCGTTGCCCATCCCACCTATCAGCCAGCAGCCGCAAAAGCGCCCGCGTCTCGAGAATTCGCTTGCGCCGCCGCCGGGCATGGCATTCCCTTACCGGCTCAACGTCGATCTCAACACCTTCCCGCCCACCGCACACGCAACGTCGCTTCCTTCGCAGCAATCACCACAGCAGCAACGGCAACAGCAGCAGCAGCAACAACAACAACAACAACAACAACAACAACAGCAGCGACAATCGCAGAGTGATCTCGGGCTGCCATTCCCAAGCAACGTCGGCCTACCCATGGATGCCTTTTCGTCATCCTCTGGCTTCGAGTTCCCGTCATCGCGACCACGGCCATCGCTCGGGTACTCGGGACCAGGTCAGCAAGGCAGCGGGTCTTTTGGTGGCGGCGGAGGGATGAACGGGGTGTTTGGCTCGCGACCGGGTCCGCAAACTACGAACATGTTGATGGACCTGCTAAACAGCACTGCCTCGACGACAACGGACGTCCCTTTCGAATGGCCAAGTTCATCACAGGGCACAACACAGCTCGATGGTACGTCTCCTCCGCGGCGCATATAGCCACTCGTTTACTCACCTTCGTTACGGACGGTGCCAGCAGGCACGGTCAGTAACGATTGGCTTGAGTTCCTCGCCTCATCCACGACCCAACAATCGCCACACTCTTCACTGCCCCTCGGACTGCCTACACCCACGACTTCTCGCGCTGCGTCGAATTCCGTCTCATCAACCACCTCGAGTAGAGTGCCGTACGGCCTCCCGAGTGGATCATCATCGCCTCATTGCCTCTCTCCCGGTCGGAAACGCTCACGCGACGAAGCATGCTTCGATGACCCGGGGTCGGGTGTGTTGAAAGCGATGAAGCTCGGTAGCGATGGTCGGCGGAGCGTCGGGTGAGCGCCGCGGGGCGGCACGCGTAGGCGGCCGGAAGGCGCTCCGTCGAGCAGTCATCGCGGTCGGCCGCCAGCCTGCGCGGAGAAAGAGAGGAGGAGCCGCAGAGACACCTGCAGGGATCGCACGCCGAGTATAAATGCCACCCCGTATGACAGAAAGGCTTGGCACTCCCCTGCGATTTCTCCCTCAGGTTCGGGAGACGCACTCGACTGAAAGGCGACGGCCACGGGCTGGCTTTGGTCTCGCTCACATGCATCCAGGCACCATGCACGTCTTTTCTCACCTATAGTACTCGTTCGAGTTTTATCCTTCGCATGCCCTGCTTATTCAGTTGAGGTTTCTTGCAGCACTTTTTATTCATTACCTCGGACGTTGATACAGATAGTGTAATAACTCTCGAATACGTGTACTACTGTATGCCTCCTATGTTATGTCCTAGAATATTAAGCATTGTTACCAAGCAAAGCGGCAGGAGATGCGTGTGGTCACGGTGTTCGGGCGCTCCCCGCTTTCGCCGACGAAGGGGCGGGTGTCCCCACGTCACCCCCTTGCTTTCGACTCGACGAGCAGCTCTCTACTGAGTTCTCACCATACGTGGCTACGCGAAAACACGCGCAATGGTCGCGCTGCGACCCTGTTTCTTGCGGCACAAGTCCGCCGACATCTCGCTTGCACATGCTCGCCGAGTGCTTGGAGTCAAAGCCTTGAGCGGAATAACAAGGGGCGCGCGGGTGCTAGGCGTAGTACGCACTCTACCGGTATAGTCTGCCTTTCCTCTCCAGCTTCACCCCACGACTCGGATGCTCTCCCGGCCCGTACTGAGCGGTGGCACGTCAGCACAGAGGTCGTATGGGCGGCCGACTTTCCTGCGCGCCTCGACGCAGGATGCCCCCTGACGAGACACCGGCACCAATGCATTCAGCCACGA